GGCTGCTCCCCATTTCCTGTGGCCGTTTGCGGTCCGATACGCCGCGCATCAGCTCAACCTCTAGCCCCGTGTCTCTGCTCCAGAGACCTCGCCCACACTTCGTTGGACGGGACAGCCTGGTGATGTGTCGTCGTTTCGGGTCTGGGGCGCGCTCTCCCTTGTTCGCGATACCAAAGCGAGCAAGCTCTCTCCTCGCACTCTCCGCTGTGTCTTCCTGGGCTTCCCCACCGACGCTCCACCCTGGCAGTTCTACCACCCTGCCTCGCGTCGTGTTCTGTCCTCTCAGGACGTCACCTTCGACGAGTCGGTCTGTTACTACCGACTTCACCCGCACGCGTCCCACCCGGTCCCCCTTGCACCCCTCTTCCTGGTACCAGTCCCCCCCCCGGTAGACCCCCTCCCCCCACAGGGTCCTGCTCCCTCAGGTGTGTCCCAGGTAGACCCACCCCCCTTGGATGAGCCAGTTGAGATCTCTTCTGACTCCTCTGACTCACCTGAGGGGGGTGACGCCGTCGCCGACGACACGGCGACCACTCGCCACACTCCTCGCTTGGCGACCCCCCCGGGTTTCCCGCCACGGCCGTCTTCGCCGCCTCCGCAGCCTGCTGCTGTGGACTCTGGAGCTGAGACTACTGGAGCTGGGGCTGGGGGTGGTGAGTCTGGGGGTGCCCGCTCTCCTCGTCTGGCTACCCCCCCCGGGTTCCCACCTCTGCCGTCTTCGCCGCCTCTGCAGCCTACTGCTGTGGACACTGGAGCAGAGACTGAGGGTGCTGGGACTGAGGGTGCTGGGACTGAGGGTACTGAGCCTGAGGGTGCTGGGACTGAGGGTGCTGGGACTGAGGGTGCTGAGACTGAGGGTGCTGAGACTGAGGGTGCTGGGACTGAGGGTGCTGAGCCTGAGGGTGCTGGGACTGAGGGTACTGAGACTTTGGGTGCTGACTCTGGGGGTGCTGAGACTTCGGGTGCTGACTTTGGGGGTGCTGCGAGTCTTTCTGGAGGTCCTGGTGCTGGAGGTACTGGAGCTGCTGCTGGTGCTGGAGGTGCTGGAGCTGGAGGTACTAGAGGTGCTTCTGGTGCTGGAGGTGCTAGAGCTACCACTACTAGAGGTACTGGAGCTGGACAGCCACCGCAGCCTGCTCTACTTGAGACGCTCTCGCCGCAGGCGATTCGTGCGTGGGTCGTTGTGCAAGGCAGTCCTGGTGGTGGAGGGTACGGTCCTGCTGGTGCTGGAGCTACTAGTCCAGGAGGTGCTGCTGGTGCTGGAGGTGCTGGAGGTACTGCTGGAGGTGCTGGAGGTACTACTGGAGGTACTAGAGGTGCTGCTGGTGCAGGAGGTACTGGAGCTGCTAGTGCTGGGGGTACTGGAGTTGTTGCCGGTGCTGGAGGTACTGGAGCTGGTGGCACTGGAGGTGCTGGTGCTCCTGGTGCTGGAGCTGCAGGAGCTGCTGACCCTGGAGGTGCTGGAGCTACTGGTCCCGGAGGTGCTCGTACTGGAGGTGCTGGAGCTACCGGAGCAGGTGGTACTGCTGGTGCTGGAGGTGCAGGAGGTGCTACTGGAGCTGCTGGCACAGGAGGTATTGGAGGTACTACTGGTGCTGGAGGCGCTGGAGCTGGAGCTGGAGGCACTGGAGGTGCTGGAGGTACTACTGGTGCTCGAGGTGCTGGCGCTGTCGGAGCTCGTGGTGCTGGAGGTGCTGGTGCTACTGGTGCTGGAGGTCTTGCTGGGGGTACTGGAGGAGCTGCTCGTGCTCGAGGTGCGGGAGCTACTGGTGCTCTTCGCCACCTTCTCAGTCTTCCGCCAGGTGCTACTGGCTTCCCTGTGGCAGGTACTACTCCTCCGTTGCTGTGTCCGCCAGCGGACCAGTCACAGCCACCGTTGCTACCACACTCCCCACTGCCTGCTCCTGCTCCTTACACTGCGGTGTCAGAGTCCCTGACTGAGCGTCGAGAGCCTGAGACTCGTGCTTCCACCCCTGAGCGTCGAGAGCCTGAGTCTAGCTTTGACCTTGAGCCTGAGCCTAGAGCTGCTGTCCGTGCTCGTGTTCCTCGTGTTCGTCGTCCGCGTGCTCCGGCTGTCCCCGGCACTCACGATATGACACTCCGTCCTTCCTCTGTTCCTCAGCGTGTTGTACTACCGTTACCTCCTGCGTCCTCTCTGCCTGACGTTGCTGACCCTCCGTCTGATTTTGCTCGTGCGTCCAGTCCGACTGTTACTCGCCTTCTTGCTACGGTTGTGACGGACCCTACGTTCTCGTCTCCTGCTGCGTCTGCCCTAGTAGCTGAGCTTGTTGACTTTGCTGCTGTGTACCGCCTAGACTACCTTGCGAGTCTTGTCTCTGACCCTGTCCCTGCCTGTCCTCCGTCCGTCGGGGGTGAGACTGCTCTTGGATGTACTGCCCTTGGCTGTGACGTTCTTGAGGACAGACAGGAGGAGCTGGAGTGCCTTGCTGCCGCTTCACCCCATCACGCGACCATGCTGCTTGCCCCTGAGGGAGACCCGGATGCACTTGACATCCCCACCCCGCGCTCCTACAGGGAGGCGATTTCGGGTGAGTACTCCTCTCAGTGGCAGACAGCCATGGACGCAGAGATGGCTTCCTGGAAGTCCACAGGCACCTACGTCGACGAGGTTCCCCCACCTGGGGCGAACATCGTCAGTGGCATGTGGATTTTCAGGGTGAAGCGGCCGCCGGGTTCTCCGCCTGCCTTCAAGGCACGTTACGTTGCTCGAGGCTTCAGTCAGCGTGAGGGGGTCGACTTCTTTCAGACCTTCTCCCCCACCCCGAAGATGACCACTCTTCGGGTGTTGCTACACGTTGCAGCTCAGCGTGACTACGAGCTGCACTCCCTCGACTTGTCGACAGCTTTCTTGCAGGGTAGCCTTCACGAGGCCATCTGGTTGCGCCGTCCACAGGGCTTCATTGGGTCGTTTCCTGAGGGTACCCAGTGGAGCCTACGGCGACCAGTGTACGGCCTGCGTCAGGCGCCCCGTGAGTGGCACGACACACTGAGGACGACACTTGCGGCTCTTGGGTTTGCTCCTTCGACTGCTGACCCGTCACTGTTTCTACGCACCGACACTACTCTGCCGCCGTTCTACATCCTCGTGTACGTCGACGACTTGGTTTTTGCTACTGCTGACACTGAGGCACTGGCCCTAGTGAAGGCAGAGCTGCAGGAGAGACACACCTGCACTGACCTGGGTGAGCTGCGGAGCTATCTTGGCTTGCAGATCACCCGGGACAGACCACGGCGCACCATCACCCTGACTCAGTCACACATGGTGCACCAGGTTCTTCAGCGCTTCCGCTTCACTTGGTCCTCGCCACAGCCCACTCCTCTGTCTACCGGCCACTCGTTCTCAGCTCCACCTTCGGACGAGTCCGTAGAGCCGAGTGGTCCGTACCCAGAGCTTGTGGGTTGCCTCATGTACCTGATGACGTGCACACGACCTGACCTCGCGTACCCTCTCAGCCTCCTGGCTCGCTACGTGGCACCTGGTCGACACCAAAAGGTGCACTTTGATGCTGCGAAGAGGGTACTGCGTTACTTGTGCAGCACATCGGGCATGGGGCTCGTGCTTGGAGGACGGGGTTCGGTGGTCCTCACAGGACACTCTGACGCTTCTTGGGCCGACGACCAGACGACTCAGCGTTCGTCACAGGGTTACACCTTCAGTCTTGGCGCTGGTTCTGTCTCGTGGAGGTCCACTCGTTCTTCTTCTGTGCTTGGTTCCAGCTGTGAGGCCGAGATCTACGCTGGGGCCATGGCTGCACAGGAGCTACGCTGGCTGACCTACCTGCTGACCGACTTGGGGGAGCGGCCTCGTTCTCCTCCAGTTCTGTACGTCGACAACAAGGCAATGCTTTCCTTGTGTCGCGAGCAGAGACTGGAGCACAGAACGAAGCACATTGCTCTTCGCTACTTCCTTGCGCGTGAGCTGCAGCAGCGTGGTCAGCTGCGCCTTGCTTACGTGGCCTCTCGGGCCAACACTGCTGATGTCTTCACCAAGGCCCTTGGGGCTGGTGATCATCACCGTTTCTGCATTGCTCTTGGGCTTGTGCCCACTCTGCCTCACCTGTTGGTTGCTTGACTTGCTCTTGTTGTACACTGTTATATATCTTTATGCCTGCATGTTTTCTCTTGCTAGGTTGTGATCAGTGTACTGCCTTGCTATTATATACCTCTGCATGTGAACTGGCCTTGTGGCCACTTGCTTGTGCTCAGAATGCGTGGTGACTTTGTGATCCACCCAGAGCTGTGTTCTCTTCTGCAGACTGGTCTTGTGACCGCTTGTTGTGTTTGCTGTCCCCTACTTTGCCTATGGGGGTGTGTCAGATTACAATTGTATCTCTAGGCTACAGTAGGGTCACTCCTTAGTGCGTACAACACTTTAGGGTTAGGTTTCCCCTACCTGTACTCACCTCTTGCCTAGTCCAATCTCATCATTCCTAGTTGTATTCTTGACACTGCTGGCCTGGCCGTGTCGGCCTACGCTTCGGGACTAGCCCGAGCCTCGCTTCCAGCGTAGCACTAGCTAGCTCGCACGCACCGCATTACCGTTTGCATGTTTCGCGTATAAATGTTCGCTCACGCTTTCGCTCACATTTTGTACTCGTTTGACACCTTAGTGCAGTTCTTGCTACTTCGATTCATTGTACCCGTAACACTACGTACTAAATGTCCCAACCAAGGATCTGCAAATTCCTTCTTCTTTATTACCATTTTTATACACAAATCAGACATGGGTTACCAGGGCTTCTATGCAGCAGGAAGATGTAGCCTCTTGGTATCTTGCTCTGCCACTAACGGGATTTGACAATACCGCTGCTAAAGGGAACCGGGCAGCTCAGCACAACTGCCATGAAAACTGTCCAGCACATAACGTGCACTGGAAAAACAACAACGCAGCAGGAGGTAACAAACTTCTGAGTTGATTTGGCTCCCAAGTCGGGGAAGAAAACACAAAAGAATCTAGGTGGTATACTGGCTGCGATTATTCATGCTGCAGCTTTGGCGGCATCTGTGTGCGTGCGAGTGTCGGCCTTAAAGCCCGTGTCTGCTGCATGCTGGTGGATCCAGTCCATGGTGATGCTCTTTGGGCGCTCCAACGGCAATCCCAAGGCCCGGTCCCACACCAGCTGATGGGGGGATGAGGGGAGAAAAGTGGTGGGAAAAGAGGGGAGAAAAGTGGGGGGAAAAGAGGGGAGAAGAGATTGGAATGAGAGAAGCGTGGGGAAACGGGAGGGGTAGGTGTGAGAGGGGGATGCAGCTGCACTGCTGGCAGGTCAGGCCGTGCTGTGGGAGTGAGGGGTAGTGGTGGTGGCAGTGGTGGTGGTAGTGGTGGTTGCACAGGTGGTGGCACCGCCGGCGGGAGCAGTGGGGGAAGCAGAGGGAGAAAGAGAGAGAACATCACGGAGTGTGCGAGAGAGAGGGAGGGTGATGAAGCAGTGGCACTCATGGCGAAAGAACATGGTGTAGGGGCAGTTGATGTGAGGTAGCCTGGTGCAAAGCGAGGCAGTGCGGTGTGATGAGGTGCAAGGCACGGCACTGACCTGAGAGAGCACGCCCATGGCTCGAGAGACGCCGAACAACACAGTGTAGAAGCTGGTGGGGGGAATGGGGTGGTGGGGGTGGTGGGGAATCGAGGGGGTGTTATGAGGAGAGGGGGGAGTAGACCTACACAAGCAGACGCACATGGCTCGAGAGACGCCGAACAACACCGTGTAGAAGCTGGTGGGGGGGATCAAGGCAAAAGGAGGGGGGGGGGGGGGGGGAGTAAGTGGTTCTGGAGAAGTGTTTTGAGACGTCTCAAACCACTTCTAATTTCTCGAGAGATGCCGAACAGCACAGTGTAGAAGCTGTTGGGTGGGATCAGGGAAAGGAGGGGGAGGGGGATGGTAGTGGAAAAGTGTCCTTTTTGGGAGAGGAGGAGGGGAGCCGTACAAGCAGACTTGGAACTGTGGTCACGGAAAATTCACATGCGGGGATGTGAAATATACGGATTCCAGCTGTTGCTGCTGCTTGCTCCTAGCCTTGTCCACTCACTCCTCTCATGCTCCTGTACCCCTCTATCGCAGCGCATGGGTCCGCCAGTCACTAGCCCGGACAGCACTCACTAGCCCGTGACCCAGTCACCACCCCACTTAACATTGGTTGCTGACGCCCTCGTGTCCCAGTCAGCACTCACTTGGCGTGGGTGAGCCCCCGGTGCTGCAGCAGCACGCCACTCTCTAGCCCCGTACCACTCGCCCCTCTCGTTGCACCCATGCACAAGCCCAGTGAAACAAGCCCCTCGTGCCCCAGTCAGCACTCACTTGGCGTTGGTGAGCCCCAGGTGCTGCAATCCCCTTCCACTCACTAGCCCCGCACCACTCACCCTTCCCGTTGCACCGATGCACCGCTCACAACCCAGCAGCACTCACTTGGCGTGGGTGAGCCCCAGGTGCTGCAGCAGCACGCCGCTGTGCGCGTCCACGTTGGGCCATGGGTTCTGCACCTGGGAGGGGCAAGGGGAAAGGGGGAGGTGCAGGGAGATACATGTGGGTGCACGTGGGTACACAATACACAAGCATACATGCACGCCGCAGCACGCCGCTGTGCGCGTCCACGTTGGCCCATGGGTTCTGCACCTGGAGGGGGCAAGGGGAAAGGGGGAGGTGGAGGTATGAGGATGCTTGCATGCACACACTCATGCACACGTGCACTCACATGCACTCTTCCCCCTCACCTTACCCCCCTCCCGCCTCATTTTGCCCCTATCTCCCCTCACCTCCCCAGCTCCCCCTCCCCACCCCGCCAATCCCCCACTCACCTTGCCAGTCTCCTGCAGTATGGGCGGCACCACCTCGTACAGGTCAGACACCTGCAGTCAACACAGCACGGGCGGGGAATCAACAGAGGAGAGTGATCAGCAGTCAATGCAGTCAACGCAGTCAGTATGGGCCGCACCACCTCGTACAGGTCAGACACCTGCAGTCAACGCAGTCAATGCAGTATGGGCGAGGGACCAACAGGGCATGGTGAGAAGAATAGTCAACGCAGTCAACCCAGCATGTACCAGCTGCACCATGGGGTCATGCGCCATGTGCTGCCGTGCAAACTCCCGCTGGCACGAGTAGCGCGGGTCTGTGACTCACAGCACCACGTGCCCATACCCCGGCACCACTCTTCAATGCAGTCAACACAGTCAACACAGTCAACACAGTCAACGCAGTCAACACAGTCAACACAGTCAACGCAGTCAACGCAGTCAACACAGTCAACGCAGTCAACACAGTCAACACAGTCAACACAGTCAACACAGTCAACGTAGTCAACACAGTCAACACAGTCAACTCAGCTCTTACCAGCTGCACCATGGGGTCATGCGGCATGTGCTGCAGAGCAAACTCCCGCTGGCACGAGTAGCGCGGGTCGGTCACTCGCAACACAGCATGCCCATACCCCGGCACCACCCGCCCTGCCGCCAGCCCCCGCCTCACGTGCTCCCCCAGCTGCTCCTTGCTGGGTCGCTCCCCTAGCTCTGCCCTTAGCGCGTGCAGCCACCCCAGCACCTCCTGGGAAGGGGGAGGGGGAGAGAAGGGTGAGTAACAGGGGGGACACATCAGGAGGGGTGGGGTTATCCGAACACTCGCAGCACCGCATGCCCATACCCCGGTACCACCTGCCCTGCTGCCAGCCCTCGCCTCACGTGCTCCCGCAGCTGCTCTCTGCTGGGTCTCTCGCCCAATTCCGCTCTCACCGCGTGCAGCCACCCCAGCACCTCCTGGGGAGAGAATAGGAGTAACAGGTGGAAACATCAGGAATGGTGCATTGGGTATGGGAAAATGGGGGTGGGAGGGGTGGGCCCATACCCCGGCACCACCCGCCCTGCCGCCAGCCCCCGCCTCACGTGCTCCCCCAGCTGCTCCTTGCTGGGCCGCTCGCCCAATTCCGCTCTCAGCGCGTGAAGCCATCCTAGCACCTCCTGGGAAGGGGTGGAAGAGGAGGGAGACGGGGGAGGAAGGGTGTGTTGGGAGTGGGGAACGGGGGGAGGATTGGGACCTTCCCCCCGCCTCATCTGCAGCACAGCATGCCCATACCCCGGCAGCACCCGCCCTGCCGCCAGCCCTCGCCTCACGTGCTCCCCCAGCTGCTCCTTGCCTGGACGCTCGCCCAATTCCGCTCTCAGCGCATGCAGCCACCCCAGCACCTCCTGATGGGCGGGCGGAACGGCGCATGGGAAACGGGGGAGAGATTGTTAGGGCCCCGGTACCACCCGCCCTGCTGCCAGCCCCCGCCTCACGTGCTCCCCCAGCTGCTCCCTGCTCGGCCTCTCCCCCAGTTCTGCTCTCAGCGCGTGCAGCCACCCCAGCACCTCCTGGGGAGGGGCGGAGGGTGAGAAGTGGGGAGAGAAATGGGGAAGGGGGGAGAGAAGAGGGGAAAGGGGGAGAGGAGGGTTGAAGGGGGTTGGGGAGAGTTAGTGGTCGGTTGGAGCAGAGACAGAGAGCGCAGAGAGGCACTGAGAGGCACGGAGAGCTTGATGGCAGCTCGGAGAAGCCGATGGGGCGGGGAAACTATGCGAATGCATGCACCTCTCTCCTGATCGGTTGGCCAACCCATCAAAATGACCCTCACCTGATTGGCCAGTCCATGCAGCCAGCTCTCACCTGATTGGCCAGCCCATGCAGCGGGCCGGCGAGCCCGTTGAGGCCGGCGGAGAGGGCGAGGAACGGGTCGGATAATGCCGACCCAACCAGGTGGGTGGCATGCGCGCTCACATTGCCGCCCTCGTGATCCCTGCATGCATGCGTGTGTGGTTGCAAGGAAAGGAGGCATAGAAGATGGGAGATATGTTGGAGCGAGGCAGCGAGTGGGTGGCATGTGCATGCTCATTGCCGCCCTCGTGATCCCTGCAGCATCCTAAGGCCATCACATGCGCAGATGTCCCCGCCATAGCGACTCACGCGTGGATGGTGAGCTACAGACTTAGCAGCTCGTCCATGCGCTCATCATCGAACCCCATCATGTGCGCCAGATTCCCCGCATAGTTCAGATCCTCATGCATGGATGGTACGGTACAGCGATAAGGGCTTGCTTTTTGAGTCGACTCACGCGTGGATGGTGAGGTACAGCCTTAGGAGCTCGTCCATCCGCTCATCGTCAAACCCCATCATGTGCGCCAGATTCCCCGCGTAGTCCAGATCCTCCCGCGCCGCCCGCACACCCGGCCGCGCGCCGCCCTCCTTGCAGCTGCGGTTGTAGATCCGGGCGGCGATCTCCGGCAGGGCGGCAATCAGATTGAGACTGTCGTCTAGTGCGTGGCGCCAGAGGTCTCGCTTGTGTGTGCCGCGGTGGTACGCGGCTGCGAACTTGGAGGTGCGTTGCAGGGCGAGCACGGCTATGGAGAGCTGCGTCATTGGGTGGAGTGATGGGGGGAGCGACCATATCACCTGACAGACCGCATCTGGTTTGAGGGGGTGGAGAGGGAGACAAGGGAGAGACGAGAGGGGGAAAGTAAAGGAAGAAGAGAGTTTTGAGAGTTGGAGGTGCGTTGCAGGGCGAGCACGGCTATGGAGAGCTGGGTCATTGGGTGCAGCGATGGGGGGAGCGACCATATGACCTGACACACCGCGTCTGGTTGGAGGGTATTGAAGGTGAGAAACGAGGGGGAAAGTGGGGAGGGGAGAGGGGAAAATGTGAGTTAGGAGATTTGGAGGTGCGTTGCAGGGAGAGGACGGCTATGGAGAGCTGGGTCACTGGTTGGAGTGATGGGGGGAGCGACCATATGACCTGGCACACTGCGTCTGGGGAGAGGGAGAGAGGGGGAGAAAGGAGAGAAGGGAGGGGGGAAGTGGTGGCGGGGAGGAGAGAGTTTTGAGACTTGGAGGTGCGTTGCAGCGCGAGCACGGCTATGGAGAGCTGGGTCATTGGGTGGAGTGATGGGGGCAGCGACCATATCACCTGGCACACGGCGTCTGATAGAGGGAGAGAGGGTGAGAGGAGAGGGCGGAAGTGGGGGGAGAAGAGAGTTTTGAGATCTGGTTTGGATGCGTCAATTGGATGGAGCAATGGGGGCAGTGACCATAAAACCTAGCACACCTCTGGTTCAGGGAAGAGACACCAGCACCAGCACCTCCCTAACCAAGCTCTATTTTTTAGGCGCCTCAAGCAATGGGGGGGGCAGCGACCGTACAACCTGGCATGGCACACCTCTGGTTCAGGGGAGAGACACCAGCACCAGCACCTCGCTTACCACGCTCTATCCGCGTTATAGTCACCTACCTGGTAGCCGCGCTCTGTCCTGCAGCTCCACGGCCAGCGACACTGCCTGCTCCTCCGTGGGTACCTGGTGGTTGAGAGAGGAAGCGGGGGAGAAGAGAAGGTTAAAGGGACGCACGGCAGTTGGACACGTGAACACTCCATACCTCCAAACCACCCAGCTACAACCATGGCGCTCCGTCGAAGGCGAGTTTGGCCCGAAGCCACTTTTTCTAGAGTCACCTCGCCCGCTACAGCCACCCCCCACTTACCTCGCCCGTTAGCAGCAACCACAGCAGCGCCTCGGGCAGCGGCTGGCCGCCGTCGAGCGCGGAGGGCAGCTGCTCCTGGCACTCAGGAATGGACAGCCCGCGGAACTTGATGCCCTGGCGGAACGCGGACCGGCGGAGGGAAGAGCGGGGGAGGAAGGGAGGGGAAGGTAAGACGGGAAGGGAAAGGGGAAAGGCGAGGGCAAAGCTTTGGTGATGGAAGGTGCAGGTGAGGGGGCGAGGAGGACTGGCGGAATGCAGTTGGGAAAGGCTGGTACTTGGAGCGGGTGGTACCTGGAGCGGGGTTTACCTTGAGCGGGTCGAGCTGCGACGTCTCCCAGAGAAGGCCCTTGATGCCGCGCATTCCGCCCACCGCCTGCCACGTGGCACATCGAAATAACGCACATTCATGATTCGCGTCCGATGCATACTCGACCGAGTGAATAATGCGGCGACGAGGCACAACGAGGCGCGCGCGTGCGCGTACCATGTTGACGGTGACGTCACCCAGGACCATGTCGCCGTACTTGGCTTTAATCTCCGCGAGTCGCGCGCGCTGCTCCGGCACCACCTCCTCCATCGTCTCCCGCAGGTCCACCAGCTCCGGCACGCGCTGCGGCAACTGCACCGCATAGCGCGCGGCGAACAAACGAACAGAGCGCAAACGCGCAGCGTGCATGCGAGGCGGCAAGGGGCGAGAGGGGGGGAACGGTAGGATACATAAGACATGACGACGGCGTGGACAAGGCGACCGTGAGACGTTTGGACGAAAGATTTTGCGTGTAAATGCGGGAAGGCGGCACGGTGGGGTGGCGGATTCAGCGGCGGCGCACCGTGGAGGAGAGGCGGTGCGGCGCGGCGTCCTCCACTCCCTTGAGAACGCCGCCGGGCTTGGAGGCGGCCTGGCGACGGGGGAGGGGAGAGGGGGGAGACAGCAGAGTGTCGGAGGGATTGAGAAAGACAGCACTTCGAATAATAATCGACGATAATATATCAATTAAAGGCCGAATGGATAATTCCTTTCTCGATATTGTTGGTTAGCAAGAGCTGTTTGTGTTGGCCCAGCCTGCTACCGACTGGGTTAAAAGGGCATGTTTGTATGGTGGGTAGCACACCCATAACCCCCCAGGCCGCGCCTGTAGCCCTCCCACACTCAACTCGGGACGATCCCAGTGCCCCACCAACAGTTTGCTCATCCACTTAAACAACTCAGGGCCGGGGTCCATAGGAGCGTCGAGTCAAACGGACAACACTCGTACCTGTCGGACGGACGACGCAACGCGGCTAAGTACACGTCTGAACGCCATGGGTTATGATGGGCTTCTCTAGAAACGTTATTTGACGTGCGTTAACAAGCAGCGGCCAAGGTGGATTCCAGTTTAGGGCTTGAGAAAAAGAGTGGTGCTTGTGGAGAGCTAGAATCGCGGGTTTACAACTGTGAGAGGATAGTAGTTCAAGAATGTGGGAGGATTGCGAGGGGTGGACACAATCTGTTCCTCTTAGATAGAATCCGCCATAATGAAATACATGCGAGAGGAGGGCAATGCGCCTCGACAGCACAAATTCGCCCCTGTCGGGTAGAATGGAGAAGGAATTGCTGCCATGCCATGTCACGTGAGCTCGCGTCACATGGAGCTGGTCATGTCCTTTCTCACGGGCCCAGGCCAGGTGGCACCTGTCGATTCAAAAGTTGAATCGCGCCGCTGTCATCTTGGCATGCCATTCGCGGAACGGCGGGAAAACTTTCACTTCACGTGCTACCAAAAGCTTCATCAGTGGACAATAGATCCAGGTGGCGTTGTTTGAGTCGCGATGCATCTTTTCCTTTCCAGGGTAGATTCAGGAAAGCCTCTAACTGGTCGCAAAACACAGACACGAACTGCCACTCACGCGCACGTGTTTGACTTGCAGCATTGCAATGAGAAATTTCCAATATACAGTGTTCGAAAGATGAGATAAACACCAAAACATCTAGACTAAGCCATGAACATTGAATGTAGTGTTGAGGCATAACATACTCACATAACCTCATCAGATGCCAGCAATGTATCAATATGCATGGTAAAGAGTTGAGTACCAGCAAACACCTGCAAAAATAAAAATAAAATTGCAACTCTCAGATCTGAACAAGGATATGGGATAGAAAAACGATAGACAAAGAAATATAACAAGCAGAGCTAGAGCATAAGAGAGGGACATGCCTGAAAGAATTCCTGGTCATCCTCTGGGAAGCCGTTGACAAAGCTCTCCTTGAGAAGAAGCGACACCTGCCATGCCACGCCATGCCATGCCACACCACACTCTCGCGATAAGGTAAATGTAGAAGCATTGCAGCATTCACACAACTGAGTGTGGAGGGAGTGTGGCTCCACTCACCCGCTGCCCGCCTTGGTTGACGCTGGTGATGGTGTGGATGCGCACGTCGGTGCAGAAGGTGTCGATGTAGCTCCTCAGCGTCATCAGAAAACCGTCTGCTGCTGCCACCTGCTCTCCCTCTCACTCACACATTCACACACATCCACACACCCATTGCAGCCGTCACCCGTGTGCACAAACACACACACGCACACACATACAGAAAGAGGAAGAGAATGAGTGCGAAAAAGCCAGGAGTGAATGAGAAGGAAGAGATGATCATGCATCCACACAATCCACTTCATCCTCTGGAATGCCCACCTGGCCATATCTTGACCCAACCTGGCCCTCTCTTCCCCACACCTGCCCCCCACCTTGTCCACTGTTGCGCCCACCTGGCCCTCTATTGCGTCCACCTGACCTCACCTGACCCTCTGTTGCACCCACCTGGTCCTCGGTGGTGCGGTACATGGGGCGCTTGTCAGCGTGCGGCACGGAGGCGAGAACAGCCTAAAAAACAGATCTCTAAGCACCGCAGCTCACTGGAAACATGAACGGAAATCTCCCCACCTGGTCCTCGGTGGTGCGGTACATGGGGCGCTTGTCAGCGTGCGGCACGGAGGCGAGAACAGCCTAAAAAACAGATCTCTAAGCACCGCAGCTCACTGGAAACATGAACGGAAATCTCCCCACCTGGTCCTCGGTGGTGCGGTACATGGGGCGCTTGTCAGCGTGCGGCATGGAGGCAAGCGGCGGAGTGGAAGGGCCTCCAGGCGGCTGCTTTTGAGGCGCCTCAAGAACAGACTTTCTAAGCACCGCATCTCACCGGGAATATGTACGAAGATCTCCTCACCCCACCCGGCCCCCTGTTCCCCTCACCTGGTCCTCGGTGGTGCGGTACATGGGGCGCTTGTCAGCGTGTGGCACGGAGACAAGTGGAAGGGCCTCCAGACGACTGTGGCTCCTCAGAAACAGACTAAGCACCGCAGGTCACCGGGAATATGTATGAAGATCTCCCACCTGGCCCTCGGTGGCGCCCACCTGGTCCTCGGTGGTGCGGTACATGGGGCGCTTGTCAGCGTGCGGCATGGAGGCAAGGCTTGATGAGACGTCTCAAAACCCCTCTGTTGCAGTCACCTAGCTGTCTGTTGCGCCCACCTGGTCCTCGGTGGTGCGGTACATGGGGCGCTTGTCAGCGTGCGGCATGGAGGCGAGGGCAGAGTGGTATGGCTCGAGGCGGCTGTACAGGTCCACCTCGTCTGGTAAGCGCGGCAGGTACGTGGGCACCTTCACCTGGTGGGGGGAGGGGGGGGAGAGGAGGAGGAGGGGGTTTAAGTTGAATGGAGGAAAAGGAGTGACCCCCAAGTGGAGTGGAAGGGCTCGAGGCGGCTGTACAGGTCCACCTCGTCTGGTAAGCGCGGCAGGTACGTGGGCACCTTCACCTGGTCGGGGGGGGAGGGAGAAAGCGAGCAGTTGGGTGAAGAGGGTGGTAGGTGCAGCAACGGAAGTTGCATTGCAGCAAGTTGGAGAGGACGAATGGGGGGAAGGAACGGGGGGGTAGAGAGGGGAATGTTCACCTTGTCCTTGGGAATGTTCACCTTGTCCTTGGGAATGTTCACCTTGTCCTTGGGAGTGTTCACCTTGTCCTTGGGAATGTTCACCTTGTCCTTGGGAATGTTCACTCGGATGAGGTTGCTGGCTCGGTCCTTGAGCTCCACTGTCTTGTACTGCATGCCCACCTGCATGGCGCCAAGGGGGAGGGAAGGCGACGGGGAGGGGCATAGGGGGGAAATGGAAGAGGTGGGAGGGGAGAGGGTAAAAGGCAGAGGTGGAGGGAAGAGAAAAAAAAGGACGTTCACCAAAAGTACTTACGTCACAAGTGAAACAACACCCTTTTCTACGACGGTGGCTGCCAAGTATAGTCTTGGCACCGGTGTGCTGCCTACTGCTCGCCAATAAACATTTTAATCGTCGAAACAAGTAAAGTCTTTGCAGCAGTGTGGCGCTGACTGCTCGCGAGTAAAGAGCACAAGTGAGAGTCTGGCAGAAAGCATCCATGACTCACGAGGAAGGGCACGGGCGCATCGAGGAATGTGAGAAGCTGGCTGGGAAGGATCTGTGGGGCGGAAGGGGGTAGGGTCAGAGAGAAGGGATGAAGGAAGACAGGGGTGGATGCAATGTCTCAGGGGTGGATGCAATGTCACACGGGTGGTGGCATTGAGTGTGAAGCGGCAGCAACAGACAAGTGCATGTGGTCTTGTTTGCTTTCCACAAGCAGCAGGATTCAAACAGAAAACAGAAAAACAGAGTGGATAGCAGAGAGCAGAGAAAGGCACACAAAAGGTGTTACGTGCACCCCGTGGTAGCAGATTGGGGGCAGGGGGAGATGAAACAGCACGAGAGGGAGCAATGGAGGAGAGGGCAGTTAGGGAGCATGGGAGCAGGAAGGCAGGAGGGAGCGAAGGTGTCACAATTATAATTGTAGGAGTAGATAAATGCAATATATAATCGTGACTAGTAGGTTAACGAGGCAGGAACAAGGGAGATAGCGAAACGGTCAAGGGCGGGGAAAAGCAGGAGGGAACCGAAGGAAGTGCACCGTTGGGGCAACGGTTAGCAAAGCAGGTTACTTAAAGGCAAGCAGGGCATGTGTGACAATTGCTTGCGTGTTTGTTTTCGCAACTAAGTTTGATTCTGATCTCGAGTAATGTGTAGGCACCCAAGCAATCCAACGAAGCCAACCCCGCAAGCCTTGGTAACCCTCTCTGAAGATTGAGCCAGCCGAGCTAGCTCCAGATCTAGTGCATCAGCCAGCTAGCCTTGGGAGAGAGGACTTTTCAAGTGGATAAGGCTGCTAAGAACAAAGGGAAAGAGGAGAGGGTACTCAGAGCACGAAGAGAGAAGGGGTGAAGAGACACCAGCAGGCAAGAGCACAAGAGACAGGGTCAGGGAAGGGAAGAGCCAAGAGATGTGCCAACTCCGACAAAGGAGGAGAGGGTGTGGCAGTGGGGGGATGGCACGGACCGGCAGCAGCACGGACTGCCAGGAGAAGGGGCGGATCATGGGGATGAGTGATAGCACCACCGCTGACAGCACACTCTGCACAGACGCATAGGGGCAGGGGGGCAGGGTGGGGGTAGGGAGGTGGGTGATGGCAAAGATGCACAAGGTGGGGATGGGTGGGACGGTGGATACGAGGCAGGTGAGGTGGTGCTGGAAGGGAGAAGCTGTGGATGTGAGCTGACTGTTTGTTGCCATGTGAAAAGTAGAAGCGGTGGGGCATTAAGGTGACAGGAAGAGAGCAGCGATGGTACAGCAGCAGCAGCAGGGGGGTGGGAGGGTTGGGAGAAGGGTTGATAAGGCGGAGAGGAGAGGCAGGAAGCAAGAGATGAGAGGATGCGGTGCCCTATCAGCCACAGCTGCTGCTCCACCTCGTGCGATTCCATGAGTCTAGTCACCTCCTTGTTGCTCTCCTCCGTCTGCAGAGGAGCGGGAAGGAGGGGGGAGACGAAGGGTCGAACATGTGGGGCGGAGGCAGACACAAGGGAGGAGGAGAACAGGTAAGAAGAGCGGAGAGCAAGGGAGGGAGGGAGAAGGGACTCTGAGTCCTCCAGTCCAAGTATGTATCAGGTCCAGCCCCAGCTATTGCTGACGCACAGCGTTTTGGACGCCAAGCATGTCCTCAAACCTTGGCCCTGCCTCTCCTCGCAGCAGCAGCAGCAGCAGCAGCAGCAGCAGCAGCAGCAGCAGCAGCAGCAGCAGCAGCAGCAGCAGCAGCAGCAGCAGCAGCAGCAGCAGCAGCAGCAGCAGCAGCAGCAGCAGCAGCAGCAGCAGCAGCAGCAGCAGCAGCAGCAGCAGCAGCAGCAGCAGCAGCAGCAGCAGCAGCAGCAGCAGCAGCAGCAGCAGCAGCAGCAGCAGCAGCAGCAGCAGCAGCAGCAGCAGCAGCAGCAGCAGCAGCAGCAGCAGCAGCAGCAGCAGCAGCAGCAGCAGCAGCAGCAGCAGCAGCAGCAGCAGCAGCAGCAGCAGCAGCAGCAGCAGCAGCAGCAGCAGCAGCAGCAGCAGCAGCAGCAGCAGCAGCAGCAGCAGCAGCAGCAGCAGCAGCAGCAGCAGCAGCAGCAGCAGCAGCAGCAGCAGCAGCAGCAGCAGCAGCAGCAGCAGCAGCAGCAGCAGCAGCAGCAGCAGCAGCAGCAGCAGCAGCAGCAGCAGCAGCAGCAGCACGCACCAGGTTGGGGCAGACGAAGACGATCTGTCGCTCCAGCAGCACTGCTGCTAGCACTGTGAGGATCTGAAAGGGGGGTATAGCGGCGGGGGCAGGGGAGGGGAGACGTGGGGCGGCGAGGAGAGGAGGAGTGAGGGAGAGGTTGGGGCAGACGAAGACAATCTGGCGCTCCAGCAGCACCGCTGCTAGCACTGTGAGGATCTGCGAGGTGTAGGGGGGGCCAGGGGGGGGGGAGGTTGAGGGGAGGGAGAGATATAGGGCAGTGGGAAGGGAAGGAGAAGCAATCGCAAAGACGAAGACGATCTGTCGCTCCAGCAGCCTCCTCGGCGTGCATGAGCTCTCTTAGAAGTAAATCGTCAGCGTGGGCGGGGAAGCAGCGCTCGTCGATGTCGAGCTCGCTGCGGGGTTTGACTCACATGGTCAAGGCTGAGTGCACGACACGCAGCAGCAACGGCGAAACACGCCACCCCAGCGGCCTCCTCGGCGTGCATGAGCTCTCTTAAAAGTAGATCGTCAGCGTGGGCGGGGAAGCAGCGCTCGTCGATGTCGAGCTCGCTGCGGGAGAAGCCAAGCGGCAGCAGGTGGGGCAGCGGATGGAAGAGCATGGCCTGCCCGCAGGGGGGCACCTGGGATGTGTGGTACGCGCACACGATTTGGAGTGCGTCGTTGTGGTGATCCTGGAGTGAGACAGGGGGCAGGGGAAGAAGGATGGGGAGGAAGGGGAGCAGAGGGCGTGCATGAGCAGCAGGTTGTCGGTGGGTGGAAGAGGGCATGAGGGGGGAAGCAGCGCTCGTCGATGTCGAGCTCGCTGCGGGAGAAGCCGAGCGGCAGCAGGGCAGGTGCGGTAATGGATGGAAGAGCATGGCCTGCCCGCAGGGGGGCACTGCGGAGGTGTGGTACGCGCACACTATCTGGAGTGCGTCGTTGTGGTGATCCTGAGGGAGGTAGAGAGGATCGGGAGGGGGTTTGGGAGGAGGTGGGATAGACGGCATTGGGGCACAACAAGGCACCATGTTTTACGAACAAGCTGGCTTGCACAGGGCGTCTACCCATTTCACACCTTCCCCCTCTCTCCCCTTCTCTCCCCCTCTCTTCCTCTCTCCCCCTCTCTCCCCCTCTCTCCCCCTCTCTCCCCCTCTCTCCCTCTCTCCCCCTCTCTCCCCCTCTCTCCCTCTCTCCCCCTCTCTCCCCCTCTCTCCCTCTCTCCCCCTCTCTCCCCCTCTCTCCCTCTCTCCCCCTCTCCCCCTCGCCTCACCTCTGCCCATTGCCGCACAGCCTCCGCCCCGCAGTCCCCCTCCCCCTCCCCCTCCCCCCGCTCCCCGCCCGCCCCCTCGCCCTCGCCCCCCTCCACGAGCCCGCGATAGAAAGCATCGTCGTCCTCCTCCTCCTCCTCATCCCCATACTGCTCCTCCTCCGAATCCTCCTCCTCACTCTCTCCCCCGCCCCCCTCCTCCTCGTCCCCCTCCCCCTCGTACCCTGGCAGTTCCTCCTCAGACCTGCAGCGCAATGCCATGGGTGAAGTGCGGTGGGAAGCGGTGGAATGCGTGGGTGATTTGCTCAACACCGAGGCATGGGTGAAGTGAAGCGCCTCGTGCATACAGCAGCACCATGATAAGCCAATGTCTGCTCATCAACGAATATCCTATTGCAATACCTTACTTTAGATGTGTGTACACAAACCATGGCGTAGCTTGGAGCCCCAAGCGTATAGAGGGTAATGGAGGGGTCGGTGGAAGTAGAGAGATTGGCCGTGCAATTATGCACCACTTGTAGTGACATCACCATTCACAACCACACCACACCACACCACACCACACCACACCACACCACACCACACCACACCACACCACACCACACCACACCACACCACACCACACCACACCACACCACACCAGCCAACGACAGCGCATCCGACACTACCCTGCCACACATGCGCCCTGCCTGCTCACCCGGAGTCCTCACTGATGCTGCGAGCCAGCTTCAGAGACGCCTTGCGCTCCATTGCCCCACGGCCCCCACCACCTCCCCCCACACCTCCATCGCCTTTCGCCGCCTTGCTACCCCCGGTGCCAGCACGCATGTCGTACTCGTTATAAGGGCAAGGGCCTAGCGGGTTATCATCGTCATCTACAGTCATGGATCGTCGCAGCTTCAGAGACAACCCTCCCGGGCCCCCCATACGCCCGCCTTCCTCCTCCTCCTCCTCCTCCTCCTCCTCCTCCTCCTCCTCCTCCTCCTCCTCCTCCTCCTCCTCCTCCTCCTCCTCCTCCTCCTCCTCCTCCTCCTCCTCCTCCTCCTCCTCCTCCTCCTCCTCACTCTCATCCTCCCCTTCCCACATCTCTTCATCGTCCCACTCCTCGTCCTCATCTACCCCACCCAAAGCCCCATTCTCTTCAGTCATCAGCCGCACCAGTTTCTTCCCCCCACCTGCCCCCTTCCCCTCTGCTTGCCCCACCTCTTCAGTCATCAGTCGAACCAGCTTCTTTCCACTGCCTCGCCCTGCCTCCTCTGTCATCAATCGCACCAGTTTCTTCCTCCCACTCCTTCCCACCTCGCTCCTTACCTGCTCCTCATCCTCCTCCTCCTCTTCCTCCTCTTCCTCTTCCTCCCATCCCCCACCTTCCCCCCTCTCGGCTGCTCGCCCCGCCTCTTCAGTCATCAGCCTCACCAGCTTCTTCCCGCTCCCCCGCGCCTTCCCTCCTGCTCGCCCTGCCTCCTCTGTCATCAAACGCACCAGCTTTTTCCTGCCGCTGCCGGTTCTCTCGCTCCTTACCTGCTCCTCGTCCTCCTCGCCCCTCTCTCCCTCCTCCCCATCTTCCTCCACTTCCTCATCTCCCTGCCTCCCCCTTGCTCTACCGGCCTCTTCTGTCATCAGTCGCACCAGTTTCTTCCTTCCACTCCTGCCCACCTCGCTCCTTGCTTGCTCCTCGCCCTCCTCTCCCTCCTCTTCCTCCTCCTCCACTCGCCCTCCTCCCCTCCCCTTCGCTCGCCCCGCCTCTTCAGTCATCAGCCTCACCAGTTTCTTCCCGCCACCCCGCGCCTTCCCCCCTGCTCGCCCTGCCTACTCTGTCATCAAACGCACCAGCTTCTTTCCCTGCCGCCCCACTGTCCTCCTCTCCTCCTCCTTCTCCTCCTCACCCTCCTCCTCCTCCTCTTCCTCCTCCTCCTCCACCTCGTCCTCCTCCTCCTCCCCCCCACTCCTCCTCCTCCTCCTCTCTCTCTCCGCCCACCCATCCCTCTCCACCGCTCTCTACCGTCATCAGCCGCACCAAGCGCTGCCTCTCTCTGTGAGCCCTCTTCTCCCCCTCACTGTCCTCCTCCCTCTCCGCCCTCCTCATCGCCTCCCCCGCTTCCACAGTCATCACTCGCTCTAGCTTCTTCCTCCTCCCACCCCTCCCCACACCTACTGCCCCACTCTCCTCCACCCCCTCCTCTCCTCCCTCCCCTGCACCTCCCTTCCCGCCTCCTCCTTCCCCCGTCGCCCCGTCATTCTCACCCGCCTCCACCTCCTCGCCCACTCCCCCAAACGACACAGCCTTCCGCCGAGACGGTGCCCGCCCGTTCCCCTCGTCCCCTCCACCCGCCTCCTGTCCACCCACCCCATCCTCAACCCCACTCCCCCCCCTAGAGCTCTTGCCATTCCTAGGGCTTCTCGGGCTTTTGGCGCTCTTGGGACTTTTCGGGCTCTTTCCACCCTTGCCGCCCGCGCCCTGCCTCTCCTCGTCGCCCTCCTCCCTCCACTCCCGCCCCAGATCACGGTAACTCCGCTTCAGCACACCCGCGATGAACGTAAACCCGCCCTCCATGTGCACGTTCCCCTCCCCTCCCTCCTCCCCCTCTCCCTCCTCCTCCTCATCCTCCCCCGCGCCGCCCACCAGCTCCCCCAGCAACTCCCTCACATGCTCCTTCAGTTCCCCATCCACTTCATCGTCCCCCATGCCATACCCCACACTATCTGAGTGCCACATACCGCCGGCGCCCGCACGCCCCGCCTCCTCCTCGTGTGCTTGCAGCAGCTCCTTCGGTACCATTAGCCGGCCTCGCCGCGATGCCTGCCTCATCGATAGTTCATCCTCGTCGTCCTCATCTTCCTCCTCTTCCTCAACCCCTTCTTCCTCCTCCACTTGCTCCTCATGCTCACCCTCTCCCTCCTCCTTTCTCCCCTCAGCCGCACCCATTCCCCCATCCTCGTCTTCCTCCTCCTCTTCCTCCTCCTCCTCCTCCACTTCCTCATCCCCTTCCTCGATACCTCTCTGCTCCCTCTCCTCCCTCTCCTCCCCCTCCTCCCCCTCCTCGCCCTCCTCAATCCCCCCTTCCTCCATCCCCTCCCCGCGCCCCTTCCCCTCCTCTCCCCCGCCCTCCCCACGCTGCTCCGCCTGCAACTGAGCAATAAACCCCTGCAGCCCCTTCACATTCGACAGGCCCCGCAGGCTCTTGAAGCTCTTCACCTGCTGCTCCGCCTCCTCCTTTAACTTCATCACGCCCTGCAGCCGCCGCGACGAGGGCGGGCGAGAGAAGGAGTGGGCCGGGGCGAGCGTGGAAACCGGCACGGCGAACGACATCGGGTCCTTCTCCTTCTTCTTCTTGCCTCGAAATGACTTCCCACCCGCGCCCATGCCCATGCCATCGTCATCGTCATCCTCCTCATCGTCGTCGTCATCGCTGTGAAAGCCCCCCCGTCGCATGGCTTGGATGCCCCCGGCGTTGATGCGCCTCATGTGCTGCTTCATGTGGTCGAGACGTTCCTGCACCAGGATGCTGGGGGGTGGGGGAGGGGGAAGGGGGAAGGGGGGACGTGTTAGAAATGTATGTATAGCATGCTAAGTATAAAAGGGGTTGGGGCTACACCCAACTTTGGGGTGTAGACTTGCAAGTTGGGGTGCCAATCCAACACACAAGTGTTGGAGCCCCCAAGCGCAAGTTGGGTACCCCCTCTTTGCAACCCACAAGTTGGGTGCCCCCTCCTTGCAACCCACATGGTCCTTGTTGCAAGTTGGGTGCCCCCTCCTTGCAAGTTGCCATAGGGACTACCCAACCACCCAACTTTCCCTCTTCCCTTCCAAGCTCCTCTTGCATCCTATGTATGCTCCCTTGTTCCCTAATGAAGCCAATCATTCAGTTTACAAGTTTCACAGGACGGGATGGTGGAGGGCGTTGAGAAGCGATGCATGGGTGGGGCGGGGTGGGGGGGTATGGCATGAGCTGTGTTGACGCGGCACATGTGATCCAGGCGCTCCTGTACCAGGATGCTGGAGATGGGCATCTTAGTAGTGAGTCAAGGTCAGGGCATGCTGCAGCCACTCACGTGTTGAGCACCTCAGAGTGCAAATCTAAGAAGGGCAGGCGCGTGAGGAAGCAGTAGCAGCGCGGGGCCGTCACAAGGTACTTGGAGGGTAACCCAGCAGGTTGGGGCCATGCAGGGCCGTTGTTCATGGCGAGCACGGAGGGCGGGCGCTGCACTGCACCACCTCTATCTATAATTATTACCCATCATCCGCCCTGCATCCACTCACGTGTTGAGCACCTCAAAGTGCAGGTCGAAGAAGGGCAGGTGGGTCAGGAAGCAGTAGCAGCGGGGCGCGTGACAAGGTAACCCAGAGGGCTTGGGGTCGTGCAGGGCGTTGTTCATGGCGAGCACGGAGGGCGGGCGCCGCACCACAGGATTGGAGAGCATTTTGTCTGCCAAAGATGCTTTCCTACCTGCCGCTCCCATCCATCCACTCACGTGTTGAGCACCTCAAAGTGCAGATCGAAGAAGGGGAGGCGTGTGAGGAAGCAGTAGCAGCGCGGGGCGGTCACGAGGTACTTAGACGGGAGTCCAGCGGGCTTGGGGCCGTGCAGGGCGTTGTTCATGGCGAGCACGGAGGGCAGGCGCTGCACCACCTCGTGCACCACCATGCACACTCCGTACAGCGTGGCGTTGTCGTCCACTGCCAGGAGGAACACATACGCATTGTCGTCCGCTGTCTGGTACGCCTGTGGCGCACGGGAGGCAGGATTAGGGTTAGGGGCACCCGGGTTGGTGGTGGTGCGAGCACAGAAGGCGGTGGTGAGGGTGAGTGCGTTCGGTACGCCTGTGGCGCGCGCGTGAAAAAGGGTTAGGGGCTAGAGTGGTGCAGAGCATGAGGGGTGGTGGTAGTGCGAGCACGAGGGGCGCGTGAGTGAGTGAGTGAGGGGTGCAGGGTGAGTGAGGGAGGGAGAGAGGGACAAGAGGTGGAGATACACAAGCGGGCGTGCGTATGGAGGAGATGTGGGGAAGAGTGAGTGAGAGCAGGAGAGAGGGAATGCAGGGCGCACCTGGCCATAGATGGACTGGTGGAAGCCCTTCATTGACGGTGTCTTCTCCATGCACCGCGCCTGCTCACAGCTCACAGCGGGGCCATAGGCATCAGGAAGTAGGCATCATGCAGCAGGCAGCAGGCAGCAGGCAGCAGGGAGAAGAATCGGGCGAGGAGAGTGAGATATGAGCACAAGAGAATGTGAGCGCCTACAGATGGGTGGCTGGAGGTGGAGTGTATGTGCGTGCGGTGCAACGTATGAGCGTGCGGTGCAGAGTATGAGCGTGCAGTGCAGCGTATGAGCGTGCGGTGCAGCGTATGAGCGGGCGGTGCAGCGTATGAGCGTGCGGTGCAGCGTATGAGCGGGCGGTGCAGCGTATGAGCGTGCGGTGCAACGTATGAGCGTGCGGTGCAGCGTATGAGCGTGCGGTGCAGCGTATGAGCGTGCGGTGCAGCGTATGAGCGTGCGGTGCAGCGTATGAGCGTGCGGTGCAGCATATGAGCGTGCGGTGCAGCGTATGAGCGTGCGGTGCAGCGTATGAGCGTGCGGTGCAGCGTATGAGCGTGCGGTGCAGCGTATGAGCGTGCGGTGCAGCGTATGAGCGTGCGGTGCAGCGTATGAGCGTGCGGTGCAGCATATGAGCGTGTGGTGCAGCGTATGAGCGGGCGGTGCAGGCACAGGAAGGCGGGGCGAGCAATACTCGAATTCGGACGAGCATTTAAAAAAACTCATCCGAGCTTTGAAAAAATCGCCTAAAAAGACGAGTAACGAGTATGCAATCACCTAAATAATGCTCGTCCGAGTTTTGCTTGACTCGGGACAAAACTCGACTCGTCAGTTTGCCCATGTCTAGCTCGACCCGAAAAAACGCAGCCAGACTTACACACCCACAGATGATGAAACTTCATCCCACCTCACCTCACCAGGCTCACCTCACCTCACCTCACCTCACCTCAACTCACCTCACCTCACCTCACCTCACCTCACCTCACTGCATCTCACCTCAACACCGTTTGGGAAGCAGAAGCCAGGCAGGTCAGAAGGCGAGAGAGCGAGCTTCTTGCGTGGCGGGTACTTGTAGAGCAGCTGGGGGCGGAGGGAGAGGGAGCAGGGGAGGGCATGAGAGAGAACGGTGGGTGGGTGTATGAGGAAGGGGTGGAGCCTTCTGAGTCGACTCCCCATGTCGGTGAGAATGGTTCATGTCTGCTCTGCACCCCAACAGGCACCCACCCCAGCACCCCACCCAGCAACCCACCCCACCCAGCAGCACAGGCATACCTGGGCGTCTAGATTCACAGCAGGCGGCGGCACGGAGTCACTGACAGTGCCGTTGAGCTGCCCGCGCTTGTGCGTGGCGACCGCCCCTCCACTCCACGGCGCTTGAGGTGCCTCAAACGTCAGACCTTACCCCAGCACCCCACCCCAGAAGCCCACACAACAGCAGCGCACCTGCGCATCGAGGTTGACAGCGGGCGGGGGCAGCGCATCTCTGACGGTGCCGTTGAGCTGCCCGCGCTTGTGCGTGGCGAAGGCCGCCTCAGCAGCCCACCCAGCAGTACCATGGCATACCTGGGCGTCAAGGTTAACAGCGGGCGGGGGCACGGAGTAGCCAACAGTGCCGTTGAGCTGCCCGCGCTTGTGTGTGGCAAAGGCCGCCTCCACGCTGCTCAGGTCCGCCTCGGGATGCAGCCCCACCACCACAAAGTGGTCTATGAACGTGTCTGCTTCCAATAGGCGATTGCGCTGTGGGGAGGGGTGAGGGGTGGGGGGAGGGGTTACTGAGCGGCCTGCACGGCGCTCAGGTCCGCCTCGGGGTGCAGCCCCACCACCACAAAGTGATCGATAAAGGTATCGGCCTCCAACAGGCGGTTGCGCTGCACACACACACACACACGCACACGAGGGGGGGGAGTGGGGGAAAGGGACTTGTAAGGTGCCTCGGGATGCAGCCCCACCACCACAAAGTGGTCGGTGAATGTGTCGGCTTCTAACAGGCGGTTGCGCTGCACACACACACACACACACACACGAGGGGGGGGAGTGGGGGAAAGGGACTTGTAAGGTGCCTCGGGGTGCAGCCCCACCACCACGAAATGATCTATGAACGTGTCGGCCTCTAGCAGGCGGTTGCGCTGTGGGGAAGGGCGGAGGGGTGGGGGGAAGGAGTTACTGAACTGCCTGCACGGCGCTGAGGATGCAGCCCCACCACCACAAAGTGGTTTTTAAATGTATCGGCTTCTAAGAGCCGGTTGCGCTGCATAGAAGAAACGGAGGGGTGGGGGGAGGATGGAGGGTGGGATGAGGGGTTATTGAGGCCCCTCGGGATGCAGCCCCAGCACCATGAAGTGGTCGATAAAACGTGTCGGCTTCTAACAGCCTGGGAGTGAGTGAATGATTGAGTGAGTGAGCGGGCGTGTTGAGTACTTGACACAGCCAGTCGGGAAAAGGCCGAAGGAAACAAAGCACGCCGTCTCACTGCATTGCGCGCCCTACACTGTTCACTGCACTGGGTGGGTGAAGGGCAGTGACAGCCGTACACTGTTAACGGACTGCAGCTCCTTCCACTGCTTCTTGTCGTCCGTCAGCATCGCCGGATCGTACACCTCCTCTCCGCCCCCTCCGCCCCCGCGCTGCGACTTGGCGGACAGAGTCTCCAGAAACTCCTGCACGCGCTCCCCGTCCGCGTGCCCCCCCGCGCCCCGCCCGCCGGCCTGCGCCTTCCCCTGGGGGGACGCGGGCGGCATGGCGGAGGCGACGGTGCCCGCGAAGGACTGGAAGGCGGAACCGAACGACTGGAAGGCGGAAGCCATTCCCGCAAGCGCGGTCGAGGGGGTCTGCGCGGAGGGCTGCGCGGTAGGCGTGGCGGACGGCGCGGGGAAGGCGGAGAAGGACGGCAGCTGCAGGGAGACTCCGCCCCAGCCGGACGCGGAGGGGGACTTGGCGCTCTCCGCCATTGCGGCTGCGCGACAAGCGCGGAGAGGCTAAGGAGGGGCAGCGACCGCAGGAATGGCGGAGATGGTACTACGCGCACATGCGGACTGGCGGAGGTGGTATTACGCGCACATGCGGAACGGCAGAAGACCTGAACACGCGCGTGACGAGCGGAGGTAGTGCGGCAGCTGCGTGGAGCACGCGCAAGCAACCTGGATAAGGGGGACACTCGTCGGAGAAACGTTCAGGGAGCTTGTCCTAGCGTCAACCAGACAACGCCAAGTGCCGCATAAATAAATATGAGACTGTTCTGTGCTGTGCTGTCGCGCTTATCGCTGTTCCGGATGGATGTCTAAGGTGTCACTCCCGCCATACACTCTCTACCTTCACTCCACCCCAAAAATTAGGACCACTGGCACTGCAGACCCCTCCGGTAACGACCACGGCTTCGCCTAGACTTTCGTGAGGACCGTTTTCTTCGCGTCATCGTCGCGACGCCCGTCTTGGTGTCGCACACGTTCGTGCTTTGGTTCTCGTTGGTGCAAGATAATTCGTTCACCGAGCGAAAATCGCAGAACTTCGCTGCCCTTCGAGAGACAGAGTACAGTAAAACGCGACAATGAGAAATGCAGGATATGCTTGTCGTCGGAACGGAACATGAACATGCAATTATCTGAATGACGACAATGTTTTTGTAGGATCGCTGTACCTCCACGTACACTGTTAGCGCGTCTCTCCCTAGAGCACTTTTCTACTCATTCCTGCTGGTTGTGAAGCTTCCACGTGAGCATCGAATGCCACGTGGCGTGGAGAGGCTTCGACCCTCACTCCCCCTCCACTAGCAATCCCTCCCGCCTCCCCCCACCCCACCACCACCCGCCCCTGCGCTTATATTTGTTTATTGCTCACCACCAATATCCGCTTTTCATTTTGCAGTCGTCTGTCTCTTCTTCACTTCGCCTCGAAACCGCGACATTCCGAAGGCATGCGATCGCACCTCCTCGCTCCTCTCTCCTCGTAGCGCCCCAATCACCTCCCTTTTTCTGCGCGCGCCCCCCGTTTCCCGCCCCCGCCATGAGTCTTTCCGCCGCCCTCCGCCCCTCGCGCACACTCGCCTCTCCCCGCCTCTCGCCCCGCTCCCCCGCCTGCGCGTCTGTGTCTCGACCATCTTGGCGACCAGCCGGCGCGTCGCAATGCCCATCGTCAGCGTTGCGAAGCTCGTTTGCGAATGGCGAAGAATTAAAGCGACGAACTTCGCTGGGGCAATTGCCGCAGAGTCGCAGGCCGCATCGCCTAGCCGCCAGGGTCCGTACACCTCTCCTCTCTCTCCGCCGCTCCTTCCGCACTTTCCCCCATCTCCCGACCGTGGCTCCGCTACTGGCCTCGCCGCTGCGCCCCTTGCGCAATTGCCACCATTGCGCCGCTCCGCGACCTGTCCTCCCCATCCTCCCCTCCTCCCCACCTCCCTTCTCCTCTTCATACCCCCTCATTCCGCTTCTCCTCCCCATCCCCCTCTCCTCCCCATCCCCCTCTCCTCCCCATCCCCCTCTCCTCCCCATCCCCCTCTCCTCCCCATCCCCCTCTCCTCCCCATCCCCCTCTCCTCCCCATCCCCCTCTCCTCCCCATCCCCCTCTCCTCCCCATCCCCCTCTCCTCCCCATCCCTCTCTCCTCCCCATCCCCCCTCCCCATTCCGCCTCCCCTCCTCACTCCGCCTCTCCTTCTCATTCCACCTTCCCACCAGGCCGCGGCGGCGGGCGCAGGGGCGGCAGCGCCAGGAGGCGGTGAAGGGGCGGCGGAGGGCAGTCCGGCGGGCGCGGGGCTGGCGGAGCGGGTGGTGGCGTTTCAGCGCGCGTTCTGGAAGTTCCTCCGCCCGCACACCATTCGCGGCACCGTGCTCGGCACCTCGTGAGCGCGCGGGGGGTGTGGGGTCGATTGTGGGGGAAGAGGGAGGTGGGGCGAGCGGGAGGGGGAGGGGAAGAACGGAGGGCACGCACGGGGCGGGATGGGAAGGGCTGGGATGGACGGGAGGTGAATGCAGCCCCCGAGATGGCGTGTGAGGAGGCGGGGTACGAGCACTTAGCGTTGGGGAGAGGCGTGAGGGCGGAGAGAATGCGCGCGCGAGAGGCAGAGGTGCAGGCGCGCAGGATGGTCGCCGCTGGCCCTCTGCGCTCGCTCTCTTTTTGGCTGTGGCATGCGCGCATGCATGGCATCAACCCGCTCCCACTCCATGCCATGCCATGCTCACATCCAAACACCCATTGCCCCTCTCTCCCTCCACCCACACCCCCTTCTCTCCTTCTCCCTCCACAAGCAACTCTCCCCCTCCTTCCCTGCCCACGCACTTCCTCCCCTTCCCCTTGCGCGCGGGCAGCGCGGTGGTGGCGCGTGCGCTGCTGGAGAGCCCACAGGCAGTCGACTGGGCGCTCATGGGCGCCCTCCGCAACAACCCCTTTCCGCCTTCCCCCCCCATCCCCCCCTCCTCTTCCCCCTCCCCCTTCCACCCACCCAGCGCGGTGGTGGCGTGTGCGCTGCTGGAGAGCCCACAGGCGATCGACTGGGGGCTGATGCCGCGCGCACTGAGGGGGCTGCTGGCGCTGCTGTGTGGTAACGGGTACATCGTGGGCATCAACCAGATCTATGACACCGACATTGACAGGTAGGTCAACTGAGTCAACGCTGGTCAACGCTGGTCAACGGGTGCTGAGAGGGCTGTTGGCGCTGCTGTGCGGTAACGGGTACATCGTGGGCATCAACCAGATCTACGACACTGACATTGACAGGTAGGTCAACTGAGTCAACGCTGGTCAACGGGTACATTGTGGGCATCAACCAGATCTATGACATCGACATTGACAGGTGCGTGCTGGCAGTAACAGGTGCGGTCAATCAAGTGAACTCTGACAGAGGGGTTCAAAGCAACACGTAAGGGAAGCGACAATGACAAGTAAGCGCAGCAACACGTGCAGTCACTCTCACACCATTGCCGGAAGGGGAAGGGGGCTGTGCCAGCGGGGCTGATAACGGCGCTGTACGCGTTGGGGCTCACTGCCTGCTCCGTCCTTCCCCCTTACTCTACCGCATCCCCTTTCCCCCTTCCTCCTTCCCCTTCCCCCTTCCCCTGCCCTCCCCCGCCCCCCCCCCCCCCCTCTCAGGGTGAACAAGCCGTTCCTCCCAGTGGCAGCGGGCGAGCTCTCCCCCACGCTCGCCGCACTCCTCTGTCTGCTGCTCTCCGCGGGCGGCCTGGCGATAGTGGCGCTCAACTTTGGGCGGCTCATCACGGGGCTGTACGCGCTGGGGCTGCTGCTGGGCACGGTGTACTCCGTGCCGCCGCTGCGCCTCAAGCAATACCCGCTCCCCGCCTTCCTTATTATCGCCACTGTGAGGCCCATTCTCTCTCTCGTGCCACCCTCCTCCCCACCCCTCGCTTGTGAGCCTTCCTCATCATCGCCACTGTGAGCCCCAATGCTCCGTTTTGTGCCCACCACCCACGCACCACCCACCCACTGGTAGCCTGCCTTCCTGTCTGTAGCCTTCCCTTTCCTGCGCCTCAAGCAGTTCCCTCTCCCCACCTTCCTCATCATCGCCACTGTGAGCCCAATGCTCTCGGTGAGCCCGCACGCTCCCTTTCATACCCACACACACACACACCCACCACACTCTCACTGTGAGCCTTCCCCATCATCGCCACTGTGAGCCCCAATGATTCCTTCCATTGCCATCACACACCCACTGTGAGCCTTCCTGTTCCCCCTCCCCTTCCCCTTCCCTGCCCATCCAATCCATGTCCCGCCTATCACCCAACCCAACCCCCCAACCTCCCTCTCAACTTCCGCCCGTTTCTTCCTCTCCTTCCCACACCTCACCCCCACCTCTTCATCCCCCACCTATCTCCCCCCCCCCCTCATCCCCCCCAGGTGCGCGGCTTCCTGCTCAACTTCAGGTGTACTATGCCACGCACGAACCTCCATCTCAGCCTCCCTTCAACCTCCCCCCCACCTCTTCCCCACCTCCCCCCCACGTCTCCCTCCATGCCTGCCCCCAGGTGCGCGGGTTCCTGCTCAACTTCGGCGTGTACTATGCCACGCGCGCCGCACTGGGTCTGCCCTTCGCCTGGAGGTGCGTCAGCAGCATGGGTGGTGTGTGGGGTTGGGGAGGGGGAGGGGGGAGGGGGAAAGGGGGAGGGGGGAAGAGGGGAGGGGGGAATGGTGGTGGGGTTGGCCGTTGGAGGGGAAATGGGGTGGGGTGGGGCTGCTTTGAGCTCGCTGTGATGCGGAGTGGCACACAGCACAGCCATTGAACTCAACCCTGCCCTGCCCTGCCCTTGCGTTCCCTTCCCACCGCCCTGCCTCCCACACGCCATGCTCCGTGTGTGCACGTGTGTGCACTGTGCGCATGTGCCGCCCACTGCCCATCCATCGTGTTCCTCATGGCCTCTCACTCACCTCTCCGTCCCCTTCCACCGCCCTGCCTGCCTGCCTGCCCACCCGCCGCCCACAGCCCATCGATAGTGTTCATAACGTGCTTCGTGACGCTGTTCGCCACCGTCATCGCCATCACCAAGGACCTCCCTGACATCGAGGGCGACAGGCAGTAAGTATACCTTTTGTGTGTGTGTGTGTGTGTGTGTGTGTGTGTGTGTCTTTTGTTTTTGTACCTTTTCCGGGCTCAAATCCTGTTGCATGGTTCCCTGTGTGCTCGGAAGCTTGCACCATCAATGTGCATTTCTCATGCCTGTACATCCATCATACACCCGCACCCTCTGCTTCCCCGCCTGCGCCATGCATGGCAGGTTCAAGATAGAGACCTTTGCCACGCGTCTAGGAGTGCGCAACATTGCCTTCCTGGGCTCGGGGCTGCTGCTCGCCAATTACTGTGGCGCTGTCGCTGCCGCCCTGCTGCTGCCTCATGTGAGCACCGCTGGTCACCCTCCATGCCTCGTTGTGGCTGGGTGTTGCTGGGTTTCGCTGTGTATTGCTGGATGTGGCTGGGTGTGGCTGGGCATGGCTGGGCGTGCCTGGGCCCTTGATACCGGGACTGGTTGTGCATTGGTGGGGTTTGGTCTCTTGGTCTCCTGGCAGGGTGTATCCTGATCACGTGTCTCCTGGCAGGAGGTATCCTGATCACGTGTCTCCTGGCAGGAGGTATCCTGATCACGTGTCTCCTGGCAGGAGGTATCCTGATCACGTGTCTCCTGGCAGGAGGTATCCTGATCACGTGTCTCCTGGCAGGAGGTATCCTGATCACGTGTCTCCTGGCAGGAGGTATCCTGATCACGTGTCTCCTGGCAGGAGGTATCCTGATCACGTGTCTCCTGGCAGGAGGTATCCTGATCACGTGTCTCCTGGCAGGAGGTATCCTGATCACGTTTCTCCTGGCAGGAGGTATCCTGATCACGTGTCTCCTGGCAGGAGGTATCCTGATCACGTGTCTCCTGGCAGGAGGTATCCTGATCACGTGTCTCCTGGCAGGAGGTGTCTTGATCACGTGTCTCCTGTGGGAACTCTACCATGCTCCCTCCCTTTGCCCCCCGCCCTCTCTCCCCTGCCCACCCATCAGGCGTTTCGCCAGGCTGTCATGATTCCCGCCCACCTGCTCCTTGCCGCTGCTCTTGTCTACCAGGTGAGGTGGCCTGTGCCATATGCCATGCACCGTGCACCATGCACCGTGCACCATGCTCCATACACCATGCGTGCACCATACTGCATGCACCATGCTCCATGTGCCATGTGCTCTGCTCTCTGCTCCACCCGTATCTGCTGTGTGTGCTCCATTGCTCCTGGTGATGTGATCAAACACACTGTTTTTCCACTCTCTGATTCGCTGCTGCATTGCAATGTGCTGCTCGTTCTGCCTCTTGTGCCCATTGCTGCAGACATGGAAATTGGACGCAGCAGCCTACACCAAGGTGAGTACCACACATACTCATCTCATTGTGTTCTTGCACTGCACTGCTTTCAGTTTCAGCACCTGTTATTCTTCCAGCCGTCATCGTTGTTGACTGCTGCAATCAATGCATTCCCCTATCTTAAACTGCAACCCCTCTTTGTGCCTCTCTCCCTGCCAAATGCCACATGCTACCAGGATGCCATTGCACGCTTCTATCAGTTCATCTGGAACCTTTTCTATCTGGAATACTGTTTGTTGCCAATCATCTAGTGTACACGTAACCAATCCAACATAGGAAGGCCGGCCCAGCTTCGTACTGACGTCTTATCAATCCCTCGAGCTTGGTCCCTGGTTAGTGTAGTCATCCAGGAAGGCATAGAGAATGAAATAAATAGTTAATGGGCGTGTCATTGTATGATTTTGTTTAGATCTGTGGTGAATTAGTGAAATAACGTTCGCGATTTGTTATAGCTTCCTACAGAGGTGATGGATATTGGGTGACGGTGATTATTTTGAATGGGTCGTCTCGAGAATGGAGATCACGAGAGCAAACCACTCTGCTGTCAGGGCGTGAGTGACCCACGATTGGCTCGCGACAGAATCCATGAGTCGTTTCCATCACTCAGCGAAGCTTTCGCAGCTCGTCGCCTATTCGCTTCGCCGTTTACAACAATGGCGAACGACTGGACTGGACTGGCCTTTCGCCAGCGGCTTTTTCAAGGAGTGTCGCATCCCCAAGAGTACTGTTTCTGACAACTGTCGGTCTCGGGAACAGCTCCTGTAGTGGCATGGCATCTAAAACTAGCTTCTGCATCCCTACCCTAGACCGACCTTAGTGGAGATTCTGCGGGCCAATTAGTACGCAGTGGTAATTAAAGACAGACAAGAAAGAGCCAGCATTCCATTCCGTAGTTCGTTCTGCTGAGGGCTTCGCGCGAAAAAGGGGAGGGGCTGCGAGAGCGAGCGATTGCGGGAAGGGGGGGTCGGTGCATGGATCCGAAGCAGGGCTCGTCGCACTCCGGCGAGCGGAAGAACCTCAAGCGGAAGCTGGCGGACTCCGCGTGCCCCTCAGGCTCGGACGACAGCGGCGCGTTGGCGACGGCGGAGGTGCAGGCGCACATCGCGGTTCTCAAGGGGTCGCTGACGTGGCGGGAGGCGGATCGAGTGGCGGCGAGGAAAGCGGCTCATGCGATAGCGGAGCTCGCGAAGCACGGTGAGACGCGGAGCACGGTGAGACGCAATCCCGGGGCGCCGGTATTTATCGCGTGTGCTTAGTGGCGTAGCGAATTCCGGATAAAACAGATGCTGGGGCGGAAACAGGTTGACTAGGTTAGGCAGGCGTCGCCATGATTCGTCGTTCGCATCCACTCAACTCGTATCCCTGCAAATCTCCATCCTTCCGTCCCGTGCGGTTCTCTGTTGTACGTGTGCGTGTGCGTGTGCGTGTGCGTGTGCGTGTGCGTGTGCGTGTGCGTGGCACGTGGCACGCGCAGAGGAGCACGTTGACGCCATAGTGGAGGAGGGCGCCATCCACGCGCTCGTGCCGCACCTATCAGCGCCTGCGGTGGAGGAGGGCGACGGGCCAATCGCGTGCGAGCACGAGGTCGAGAAGGACGCCGCGTTCGCACTCGGACTGCTCGCCATCAAGGTCAGACCGCGACCTGCTCCCAGTTGCCGTTCCCCGTCCTCCCAGCCACCCCACCACCCCTTGCGAAAGTCCACCAACGTCATGACTTGTCTTCGCTCCATTCTTTCTGCCCTCCCACCCGCCAGTCTGCCACGCTCGCCAGCTCTCTCATTTACCCGTGAGGTTCCCCCTTCCGCGCACACCCTTCTCCCGCCCAACCTTTTCCCCCCGCGCAGCCCGACCACCAGCGGCTAATAGCGGACGCGGGCGCACTCCCCCCGCTGGTAGCTCTGCTAAAGCGGCGGCCAGGCCAACCGACTGCAGCATCAGCAGCAGCCGCGCCCGCATCAACGCCAACTGCTCTCGCGCTCGCACCCGCAGGCACCACCGACGGCGCAGCAGCAGCAGGCGCGCATGCAGGCGGGGCGGGTGGGGCAGGCGCGGGGGCAGGCGGAGCGTGGGCGGAGGGGGGGTGGGGCGGGGCAAACCTTGCGTTGGCGCGTGTGGTGAATGGCGTGGTGCGGCGGGCAGCAGACGCCATCACGAATCTGGCGCACGAAAATGCAACCATCAAGAGCCGAGTCAGGTGCGCCGGCCATCTCACACCCTCCCTTGCATTCCCACTCTCGACGGCCCGTTCCCCTGCCCGTTCTCCTTCCTGCTCTCCGTTTTCCTCTCAAGGTGCTGTGTGGGCCATGTCAACGGACGATCGCCTTCCTCTCTGCACGCCACCTCACTCTGTGCCCTCCTTCCCCCTTGGTCGTGCGTGCGTGTGTGCATGCTCGCAGGGCGGAGGGCGGCATACCACCGCTGGTGCAGCTGCTGGCGTCGCTCAACCCCAAGGTGCAGCGCGCGGGGGCAGGCGCCCTTGGAACACCACTCGCCTTCCTCTCTGCACCCCCCCTCACTCTGTACTCTCCTGCCCCCCCGGTCGTGCATGTGTGTATCATGGTCGGCGGTCGCAGGGCGGAGGGCGGCATACCACCGCTGGTGGAGCTGCTGGAGTCGCTGGACCCCAAGGTGCAGCCTCTCAGCAGAGGATCACCTTCCTCTCTGCACTTCCCCTCACTCACTCTGTGCCCTCCTTCCCCCCTTGGTCGTGCATGTGCGTGCCATGTGCGTGCTTGGATGCAGGGCGGAGGGCGGCATACCACCGCTGGTGGAGCTGCTGGAGTCGCTGGACCCCAAGGTGCAGCGCGCTGGTGCGGGCGCCCTCAGGACGCTCGCCTTCAAGAACGAGGCCAATAAGAACCTGGTGCGTGCCAGAGGGAGGTGAACAGCAGTGCTGTTACATGCACATGCACATGCACATGCACATGCACACAAGCACATGCACATGCACATGCACATGCACAAGCATGCACGTCTATGCATAGACAAATGCACAAGCATGCGATGTCACATGCGCACATGCACACATCCATGAGCATTCATCTCCACTGCCCTCTCTCAGTTTCTGGACGCCTGTCTTCAGCTCAGCTCACTACAAACCCCCTCCCCCGCTCCCTCCCTCCCACCCTCCACCAACTGCCCCGTCCACCCTTCCTCACTTCCCGTCTCCCGTTCCCCCCGCGTGCATGGTGGGCTGCAGATAGTGGAGTGTGGGGCGCTCCCGAATCTCATTTTCATGCTGCGATCGGAGGACACAGGCATCCACTATGAGGCGGTGCGTGCACGCATGTGTAGGTGTATGTGTGTGCATGGGTGCATGGGTGCATGGGTGCATGGGTGCATGGGTGCATGGGTGCATGGGTGCATGGGTGCATGGGTGCATGGGTGCATGGGTGCATGGGTGCATGGGTGCATGGGTGCATGGGTGCATGGGTGCATGGGTGCATGGGTGCATGGGTGCATGGGTGCATGGGTGCATGGGTGCATGGGTGCATGGGTGCGTGGGTGCGTGGGTGCGTGGGTGCGTGGGTGCGTGGGTGCGTGGGTGCGTGGGTGCATGGGTGCGTGGGTGCATGGGTGCGTGGGTGCATGGGTGCATGGGTGCATGGGTGCATGGGTGCATGGGTGCATGGGTGCATGGGTGCATGGGTGCATGGGTGCATGGGTGCATGGGTGCATGGGTGCATGGGTGCGTGGGTGCGTGGGTGCGTGGGTGCGTGGGTGCGTGGGTGCATGGGTGCGTGGGTGCGTGGGTGCATGGGTGCGTGGGTGCATGGGTGCGTGGGTGCATGGGTGCGTGGGTGCGTGGTTGCATGGGTGCATGGGTGTTTGGGTGCGTGGGTGCATGGGTGCATGGGAGCATGGGTGCATGGGAGCATGGGTGCATGGGTGCATGGGAGCATGGGTGCATGGGTGCGTGGGTGCATGGGTGCGTGGGTGCATGGGTGCATGGGTGCGTGGGTCTGCCAACGCTCATCTTCATGCTGCGATCGGAGGACACGGGCATCCACTATGAGGCGGTGTGTGCATGCATGCATGCTCACACTCGCCCAGGAGCGCGTGTGTACAGGGGCGGGGCGTGTGTCTAGGGGCGTGCATGAGTATGTGCACGCTGCCATCCACTATGACTGCGTGAGTGTCTTAGATTGCATTCCCCGTCGGGACACCATTCGAAGTTTGCCCATCCGAACGGTTTTGGCGCGCGGATGGTGTCCCGGTTGGGGCAGGGCCCCACCTCTGACATTTGTCAGTGTTTTGGATGCGATCGGGGTCGCCCGAGTCGTCTGCCTGTTGCGATTTCAGGGGGAGTCACCAACCAATGGGGGTGTAGAGGTGTCATAAAACGACGAGATGCGACAACATAATGGGCGCCAGGTATAACGGCAGAACCTGCCTGTCGGGCACTGTCAAAAAGAAAAAATAGGGGATCCAATTTTTGACTTGGGGGTACCCGATTTGACTTGGGGGCACCAGATTGAAACGTGGGCAGCTTACCATTTACGTGTAGCCGGCTGCCTTGCACGTTTGTGCCAAGTCAGCCCGAATGCATTGCAACGCCCTTTTTTCCACGATCGCAGAGCAGGATGCTTGACTTGCAATTGACCGTCAGGTCCCAACGTGTCCCTAACTCGAACCGCGTGGCTGAACATTGAAATGTCATTTTTGGAAATTGCGGACCGCGTGTCCCGACTTCGGATGGTGTCCCGACGGGGAATGCAACCTTAGTGCATGGGTGCAGTGTGGGTTGCCGTCAGTGGTGACTGAGCGTGTCCCATTGCAAGCAAGTGTGCCTCGTGCCGGGGAAATGGTTGTTTCCTCAATCCAAACGCCTTCGCTTTCCCACTCACCGTGCCGATTGAACCCTGTGATCCACCACCGCCCCCATGGCAGGTGTGGATGATCGGCAACCTGGTGCACTCGTCCACGAACATTAATAAGCTCGTGCTGGAGGAGAGGGTGTCTCCGCAATGCCAAGTGCCTTTCCCACATGCCCCCTAACCTGACCTCTGTGTTTGGTCGGTCGTTGCCGCATGGCAGGTGGGCGTGATAGGCAATCTGGTGCATTCCTCAATGAACATCAAGAAGCTCGTGCTGGGGAGAGGGTGCCCCCTTCCCACACATGTCCTTAGACCCCTATGATCCACCATCCCACCCACGCCCCCCAACCCCCCCCCCCCCCCCCCTGTCCCCCATGGCAGGTGGGCGTGATAGGCAATCTGGTGCATTCATCAATGAACATTAAGAAGCTCGTGCTGGACGAGGGGGCGCTGCAACCAGTCATCGGGCTGCTCAGGTACCCTTTGCTGCGCCACCACCTCCACCCTTGTGGCTCGTCTCCTGGTTCCCCGTGGCTCACTTTCTCTCACTTCCACGCTGCCCAATGTCAAACTTTTCTCCCTTGCGCTCACTGTCCCCCTTGCGCTCACTGTCCCCCTTGCGCTCACTGCCCCCCTTGCGCTCACTGCCCCCCCTGCCCCCACTGCCCTCCCCGCCCCGCCTGCCCCACCCACTGCAGCTCACGGTGCACGGAGAGCCAGCGGGAGTCAGCGCTGCTGCTCTCTCCTGCCCTCTCTATCTCACCACCCCCACTGTCCCCCCCTCCGCCCCACCCACTGCAGCTCACGGTGCACGGAGAGCCAGCGGGAGTCAGCGCTGCTGCTGGGGCAGTTCGCCACCACTGACCCCGAGTGCAAGGTGCGCTGCTGCTGTGCAAGGTGCGCTGCTGCTGGGGCAATTTGCCACCACGGACCCCCAATGCAAGGTGCGCTGCTGCTGCCATGTTGCCTGCTGTGCGAGGAGTGTGGCATGGCAGTGCGAGGAGTGTGGCATGGCAGTGCGAGGAGTGTGGCATGGCTGTGCGAGGAGTGTGGCATGGCTGTGCGAGGAGTGTGGCATGGCAGTGTCACCCCATGGTCATGCCCCGTCAGTACTGCAAGCAAGTATCCTCTCAAACGTCACCACTGCACTGCACTGCACTGCACTGCGCATGTCACTACTTTCACCTCTCACAAAGGACTCTCCTCTCACAAAGGACTCTCCTCTCACAAAGGACTCTCCTCTCACAAAGGACTCTCCTCTCACAAAGGACTCTCCTCTCACAAAGGACTCTCCTCTCGTCTCACCCATGTAACTCTCCCCCTTCTCTTCCATCTCCACCCCTCTCCCCCCTCTCCCAGGTGCGCATAGTGCAGAGGGGGGCAGTGCGGCCGCTCATCACAATGCTGGAGGCGCCTTTTGAGGCGCCCCAAATGCCTCACACATCTCTACCTCTCCCCCTGCTCCCTCCCCCAGGTGCGAATAGTGCAGAGGGGGGCAGTGCGGCCGCTCATCACAATGCTGGAGGCGCCCGACCCGCACACTTTCATTTCTCGCTGATCCTTGAAATTTCCCCCTTCCCTCCCTCCCTCTCCCCTCCCCTCCCTCCCTCCCCCCTCCCCATCCGCTATCTGCAGGTGCGCATAGTGCAGAGGGGGGCAGTGCGGCCGCTCATCACAATGCTGGAGGCGCCTTTTGAGGCGCCCCAAATGCCTCACACATCTCTACCTCTCCCCCTGCTCCCTCTTCAGGTGCGCATAGTGCAGAGGGGGGCAGTGCGGCCGCTGATTACAATGCTGGAAGCGCCCGACCCGCAGCTCAGGGAGATGGCCGCCTTTGCTCTCGGCAGGCTGGCGCAGGTGCGCTTGTTGTGGGCATGCAGGGAGCGTTTAGGTGCGCTTCAGGTGCGCTCACGTGAGTGCGTGTGGGCCATGAGCATGCTGAACGCGTTCAGGCCGAGCAGGTCCCTCCCGAGTGTCCACAAATGCTCAAGGGAGCAGCAGTCTTCCATGGCTGCCTCACATGCTCCTCCAGTAACCATCGAGCTCCCTCCCTCCTGCTCACTCAACTCGCCCTACGCCACCTGGTCAGTCCATCTCCTCCTGCCATCACCTACCACGTCGCATCTGAACGCCACACTCCTGCCTCCCTATTTGCACCCCAGTTCCTGTCTTTATTCTCTTCACCCCTCTCCCCTTCCCCCTCTCCCCCCCCCCCCCCCCCCCCCCCCCCCCCCCCCCCGGGTCCTCCCCCCATGCGTGCTCATGCAGAACGCGGACAACTAGGCGGGCATCGTGCACGACGGGGGGCTGCGGCCGCTGCTGGAGCTGCACCCTCTCCCTTACCACCCACCCCTACCCCTCCCACTCCCTCCCCGTGTGCCATCATCAGAACGCGGACAACCAGGCGGGCATAGTGCATGACGGGGGGCTGCGGCCGCTGCTGGAGCTGCTGGAGTCGAAGAACGGCAACCTGCAGCACAATGCCGCCTTCGCACTCTATGGGCTCGCTGAGAACGGGGTGAGCCAGAGGGGAGAATGGGTTAAGTTGGGAAGAGAATGTGGAGTTGCAGGGAGATGGTGAGAAAGTGGGGTGAATAGCAGTGCGGGGTGGCAGCACATTGAGTGAGAGGCGTGAATCGGCCGGGCCACCGCTTCATCAAATCCTGCATCTGCTCGACCCATGCTTCCTGCCACACCATGCATTCCCCACCGTCCCATACCACTTCTCATCCCCTTGCATCTCTTTCCGTCCCGCCACACACTCCCTAACCTCCACCCCCCCAAACCCCCATTGGGCGCTTGCAGGACAACGTGTCGGAGGTGGTGCGGGAGGGCGGAGTGCAGCGGCTGGTTGATGCAGAGCTGATCGTGCAGGCCAGCAAGGCAACAAGCGGCGGGTCACAGCTTCACCATCTGCCATGCACTCCCCACGCTTCAATGCTTCCACTCATTCCCTGTTCCATCCCCTATCGTTCTCCCACCCCCACCCCTACCCCACCGCCCCCCATTGGGCGCTTGCAGGACAACGTGTCGGAGGTGATGCGGGAGGGCGGCGTGCAGTGACTGGTGTATGCAGAGCTGATCGTGCAGGCCGGGTCACAGCTTCACCATCTGCTCTACCCACCTCTCTCATCCCTTATCCTTCCCTCCACACACACCCCTCTCCCCTATGGCTGCTGGCTGGCAGGACAACGTGTCGGAGGTGGTGCGGGAGGGCGGCGTGCAGCGGCTGGTGGATGCGGAGCTGATCGTGCAGGCCAGCAAGGACTGCGTGCAGAAGACACTCAAGCGACTGGAGGAGAAGATGGAAGGAAAGGTGAGGCGGGGGAAGGGTAAGGTGCAGCCAGGGGAGGGGAGATGGATGGAGGGCAAGGTAGGGCCAGGGAGTGCAAGGTGGATGCAGAGCTGATTGTGCAGGCCAGCAAGGACTGCGTTCAGAACATACTCAAACGCCTCGAGGAGAAGATGGAAGGCAAGGTTGGTTGGGGGAAGGGGGAAAGAGAGGGCGAGGGCGGGAGAGAGGGCGAGATGGGGAGGGAAGGCCATGTTGGCTCTTCATTATAAGCCTCAACTGCACACGGACCACACTTATTTCTCGATTCTTCCTCCGCCACTCGTCCACCTCGCTCCTCACACCACACCCTCCCTTACCCTTCCACCCTCCCCTTTCTCCTCCCCCTCTGTCTCGACCCTAAACCCAGGTCCTGCGCCATCTGCTGTACCTGCTGCGGCAGTCAGACAAGAGCGTGCAGCGGCGGGTCTTGATGCATCTAAAAAATCTCCCACCCTACCACTACCCCCCCCCCCCACCACCACTCTTAGGTCTTGCGGCATCTGCTGTACCTGCTGCGGCAGTCAGACAAGAGCGTGCAGCGGCGGGTCTTGATGCATCTAAAAAATCTCCCACCCTACCACTACCCCCCCCCCCACCACCACTCTTAGGTCTTGCGGCATCTGCTGTACCTGCTGCGGCAGTCAGACAAGAGCGTGCAGCGGCGGGTCTTGATGCATCTAAAAAATCTCCCACCCTACCACTAACCCCCCCCCCCACCACCACTCTTAGGTCTTGCGGCATCTGCTGTACCTGCTGCGGCAGTCAGACAAGAGCGTGCAGCGGCGGGTGGCAGCAGCGCTGGCGCACCTGTGTCCCGAGGGGCAGCAGCGCGCCATCTTCGTGGGGGCGGGCGGGCTCGACATCCTCCTCGCCATGCTCGCCTCGCCGCCCTCTCCCCGCCTGCAGCGCGATGCCGCTGTGGCCCTGCGCACACTCAGCAAGCGCGCCACCACTCTCAACCCCATCGACACCGCCCCGCCGCCCCCCACGCCCCAGGTTTGTCCAACCCCCTGGCCGCTACCCCCCCAACCTGCTTCCCCCACCTGCCTGGTCGCTACCCTCACCCCCACTACTCTCGTTTCCTCCTCGCACCTCCCTTCCTCTCTCCCGGCTCCTCTGCTCCCTCCACTGATGTTTCTTTCTCTAACCTCTCGGCCTGCTTTCCTTCCCATCGTTTTGCGCCCTGCATTGTTTTTCTTCTGCCCCTCTCCGCTCCTGTCCCCTCCTTAACTCTTTTTTTTTCCCTTAACGCCCCTCTCCCCTTCTCTCCTTTCCTCTCTTCTCCCTTCCTGGGATGTGGCGTGCCTGTCTCCCTGGCGAGCCCACAGGTGTATCTGGGAGAGCAGTACGTGAACTGCCCCACCCTCTCCGACGTCACATTCCTCGTTGAAGGTGGGGGGTCCTCCAACCACATGGACGATAATGCATGGCATGGGGCATGGGGCATGGGGCATGGGGCATGGGGCATGGGGCATGGGGCATGGGGCATGGGGCATGGGGCATGGAGCATGGGGCATGGGGCATGGGGCATGGGGCATGGAGCATGGGGCATGGGGCATGGGCACGGGGCCTGGGGCATGGGGCATGGGGCATGGGGCATGGAGCATGGGGCATGGGGCATGGGCACGGGGCCTGGGGCCTGGGGCATGGGGCATGGGGCATGGAGCATGGGGCATGGGGCATGGGCACGGGGCCTGGGGCATGGGGCATGGGGCATGGGACAGGTCATAGGAGGCATGGAGCATGAGGCACCAGTTTGGTATGAGTCATGGGGCATGCTGCCCTGCATGGTCATGCTGCCCGGCATGGTCATGCTGTGCCATTCTGTACCACCCCATGCCTCATGCCCTACTTTCAACATCGCCCACCACTCCTGCCCACTCACCCCACGCTCTCGCTCGTCCCACCCGTGCCTCTCCTCGCCCCACCCGTGCCTCTCCTCGCCCCACCCGTGCCTCTCCTCGCCCCACCCGCCTTCCCCAGGCACGCGCTTCTACGCGCATCGAATCGCCCTGCTCGCCTCCTCCGATGCCTTCCGAGCCATGTTTGACGGTGGCTACCGGGTGCGTGCCCTGCCCTGCCCTGCCCTACCCTGCCCTGCCCTGCCCTGCCACGCCATGCCTTCCATTCCCTGACATTCCCTGCCCTGCCCTGCCCTGCCCTGCCCTGCCACTTACCTTCCACTCTTTCTATTTCAGCTTCATTGCTCTCTCCTCTGACCCCTTCCATGGCCCTGCCTCTCTTCCACCTCATGCCGCACTCATGCCTCGCTACATGTATCATGTATGCATGCCCGGCTATGTGTGTGCCCCCCCATCCCTGCATGTGTGGTGGTGTGAGCAGGAGGAGAAGGAGGCCAAGGACATAGAGATCCCCAACATCAGCCTGCCTGTCTTTGAGAGCATGATGAGGTACCCTCCCCCACTCCCCTCCTCCCCTCCTCCACCCCTCCACTCTTCCGAGCCCTCTCATGTCACAAGCTTCACCCTCCATGTGTCGTTCCATGGCTCATGTGTCACCGACCACTGCCTCTCTCCCTTGCACCATGCCACACCTCCCTTCACCCGTCCCCTCTTCCGCCCCCTGGTTATCCCCCTCCCCCTCTACCCCCAGTTGCGTACACACAGGCACAGTGGGGGTGCAGGTCGTACCTCCGCCCCTCCCCATCCCCATTTTTCCCCCCTCCCCCCCCCCCCCTTTCTGCCCCAGGTGCATATACACGGGGGCGGTGGAGGTGCGGGCGGACATGGCACAGGACCTGCTGAGGGCAGCGGACCAGTACCTGCTGGAGACACTCAAGCGCCTCTGCGAGCACGCCATCGCGCAGGTGGGCCCAAGCGCCACTTCTCATGTGTGTGCTTTGCTCACATGCGCTGTGCACTCATTGCTCACACGAGCTGGATCTCGCTTCGCTCCATCGGGTAGTGCACCCGTACCTGCTGAGGGCGGCGGACCAATACCTGCTGGAGACGCTCAAGCGCCTCTGCGAGCACGCCATCGCGCAGGTGGGCTGTCCCTTTGCTGCTGGGGTCACTTGCCCACGTGGGTTACTGCTGGGCTGGGCTCAACTGCCCAGGTAGGCTCAAGCGCCCAGGTGGGCTCTATAGGACCTGCTGAGAGCCGCGGACCAGTACCTGCTGGAGACGCTCAAGCGCCTCTGCGAGCACGCCATCGCGCAGGTGGGCTGTCCTTTCGCTGCAGGGGTCAACCGCCCAGGTGGGGTCAACCGCCCAGGTGGGGTCAACCGCCCAGGTGGGGTCAACCGCCCAGGTGGGGTCAACCGCCCAGGTGGGGTCAACCGCCCAGGTGGGGTCAACCGCCCAGGTGGGGTCAACCGCCCAGGTGGGGTCAACCGCCCAGGTGGGGTCAACCGCCCAGGTGGGGTCAACCGCCCAGGTGGGGTCAACCGCCCAGGTGGGGTCAACCGCCCAGGTGGGGTCAACCGCCCAGGTGGGGTCAACCGCCCAGGTGGGGTCAACCGTGCAGGTGGGGTCAACCGCCCAGGTGGGGTCAACCGCCCAGGTGGGGTCAACCGCCCAGGTGGGGTCAACCGCCCAGGTGGGGTCAACCGCCCAGGTGGGGTCAACCGCCCAGGTGGGGTCAACCGCCCAGGTGGGGTCAACCGTGCAGGTGGGGTCAACCGCCCAGGTGGGGTCAACCGCGCAGGTGGGGTCAACCGTGCAGGTGGGGTCAACCGCCCAGGTGGGGTCAACCGCCCAGGTGGGGTCAACCGTGCAGGTGGGGTCAACCGCCCAGGTGGGGTCAACCGCCCAGGTGGGGTCAACCGCCCAGGTGGGGTCAACCGCCCAGGTGGGGTCAACCGTGCAGGTGGGGTCAACCGTGCAGGTGGGGTCAACCGTGCAGGTGGGGTCAACCGTGCAGGTGGGGTCAACCGTGCAGGTGGGGTCAACCGTGCAGGTGGGGTCAACCGTGCAGGTGGGGTCAACCGTGCAGGTGGGGTCAACCGTGCAGGTGGGGTCAACCGTGCAGGTGGGGTCAACCGTGCAGGTGGGGTCAACCGTGCAGGTGGGGTCAACCGTGCAGGTGGGGTCAACCGTGCAGGTGGGGTCAACCGTGCAGGTGGGGTCAACCGTGCAGGTGGGGTCAACCGTGCAGGTGGGGTCAACCGTGCAGGTGGGGTCAACCGTGCAGGTGGGGTCAACCGTGCAGGTGGGGTCAACCGTGCAGGGTGGGGTCAACCGTGCAGGTGGGGTCAACCGTGCAGGTGGGGTCAACCGTGCAGGTGGGGTCAACCGTGCAGGTGGGGTCAACCGTGCAGGTGGGGTCAACCGTGCAGGTGGGGTCAACCGTGCAGGTGGGGTCAACCGTGCAGGTGGGGTCAACCGTGCAGGTGGGGTCAACCGTGCAGGTGGGGTCAACCCGTGCAGGTGGGGTCAACCGTGCAGGTTGGGGTCAACCGTGCAGGTGGGTCAACCGTGCAGGTGGGGTCAACCGTGCAGGTGGGGTCAACCGTGCAGGTGGGGTCAACCGTGCAGGTGGGGTCAACCGTGCAGGTGGGGTCAACCGTGCAGGTGGGGTCAACCGTGCAGGTGGGGTCAACCGTGCAGGTGGGGTCACCGTGCAGGTGGGGGTCAACCGTGCAGGTGGGGTCAACCGTGCAGGTGGGGTCAACCGTGCAGGTGGGGTCAACCGTGCAGGTGGGGGTCAACCGTGCAGGTGGGGTCAACCGTGCAGGTGGGGTCAACCGTGCAGGTGGGGTCAACCGTGCAGGTGGGGTCAACCGTGCAGGTGGGGTCAACCGTGCAGGTGGGGTCAACCGTGCAGGTGGGGTCAACCGTGCAGGTGGGGTCAACCGTGCAGGTGGGGTCAACCGTGCAGGTGGGGTCAACCGTGCAGGTGGGGTCAACCGTGCAGGTGGGGTCAACCGTGCAGGTGGGGTCAACCGTGCAGGTGGGGTCAACCGTGCAGGTGGGGTCAACCGTGCAGGTGGGGTCAACCGTGCAGGTGGGGTCAACCGTGCAGGTGGGGTCAACCGTGCAGGTGGGGTCAACCGTGCAGGTGGGGTCAACCGTGCAGGTGGGGTCAACCGTGCAGGTGGGGTCAACCGTGCAGGTGGGGTCAACCGTGCAGGTGGGGTCAACCGTGCAGGTGGGGTCAACCGTGCAGGTGGGGTCAACCGTGCAGGTGGGGTCAACCGTGCAGGTGGGGTCAACCGTGCAGGTGGGGTCAACCGTGCAGGTGGGGTCAACCGTGCAGGTGGGGTCAACCGTGCAGGTGGGGTCAACCGTGCAGGTGGGGTCAACCGTGCAGGTGGGGTCAACCGTGCAGGTGGGGTCAAACCGTGCAGGTGGGGTCAACCGTGCAGGTGGGGTCAACCGTGCAGGTGGGGTCAACCGTGCAGGTGGGGTCAACCGTGCAGGTGGGGTCAACCGTGCAGGTGGGGTCAACCGTGCAGGTGGGGTCAACCGTGCAGGTGGGGTCAACCGTGCAGGTGGGGTCAACCGTGCAGGTGGGGTCAACCGTGCAGGTGGGGTCAACCGTGCAGGTGGGGTCAACCGTGCAGGTGGGGTCAACCGTGCAGGTGGGGTCAACCGTGCAGGTGGGGTCAACCGTGCAGGTGGGGTCAACCGTGCAGGTGGGGTCAACCGTGCAGGTGGGGTCAACCGTGCAGGTGGGGTCAACCGTGCAGGTGGGGTCAACCGTGCAGGTGGGGTCAACCGTGCAGGTGGGGTCAACCGTGCAGGTGGGGTCAACCGTGCAGGTGGGGTCAACCGTGCAGGTGGGGTCAACCGTGCAGGTGGGGTCAACCGTGCAGGTGGGGTCAACCGTGCAGGTGGGGTCAACCGTGCAGGTGGGGTCAACCGTGCAGGTGGGGTCAACCGTGCAGGTGGGGTCAACCGTGCAGGTGGGGTCAACCGTGCAGGTGGGGTCAACCGTGCAGGTGGGGTCAACCGTGCAGGTGGGGTCAACCGTGCAGGTGGGGTCAACCGTGCAGGTGGGGTCAACCGTGCAGGTGGGGTCAACCGTGCAGGTGGGGTCAACCGTGCAGGTGGGGTCAACCGTGCAGGTGGGGTCAACCGTGCAGGTGGGGTCAACCGTGCAGGTGGGGTCAACCGTGCAGGTGGGGTCAACCGTGCAGGTGGGGTCAACCGTGCAGGTGGGGTCAACCGTGCAGGTGGGGTCAACCGTGCAGGTGGGGTCAACCGTGCAGGTGGGGTCAACCGTGCAGGTGGGGTCAACCGTGCAGGTGGGGTCAACCGTGCAGGTGGGGTCAACCGTGCAGGTGGGGTCAACCGTGCAGGTGGGGTCAACCGTGCAGGTGGGGTCAACCGTGCAGGTGGGGTCAACCGTGCAGGTGGGGTCAACCGTGCAGGTGGGGTCAACCGTGCAGGTGGGGTCAACCGTGCAGGTGGGGTCAACCGTGCAGGTGGGGTCAACCGTGCAGGTGGGGTCAACCGTGCAGGTGGGGTCAACCGTGCAGGTGGGGTCAACCGTGCAGGTGGGGTCAACCGTGCAGGTGGGGTCAACCGTGCAGGTGGGGTCAACCGTGCAGGTGGGGTCAACCGTGCAGGTGGGGTCAACCGTGCAGGTGGGGTCAACCGTGCAGGTGGGGTCAACCGTGCAGGTGGGGTCAACCGTGCAGGTGGGGTCAACCGTGCAGGTGGGGTCAACCGTGCAGGTGGGGTCAACCGTGCAGGTGGGGTCAACCGTGCAGGTGGGGTCAACCGTGCAGGTGGGGTCAACCGTGCAGGTGGGGTCAACCGTGCAGGTGGGGTCAACCGTGCAGGTGGGGTCAACCGTGCAGGTGGGGTCAACCGTGCAGGTGGGGTCAACCGTGCAGGTGGGGTCAACCGTGCAGGTGGGGTCAACCGTGCAGGTGGGGTCAACCGTGCAGGTGGGGTCAACCGTGCAGGTGGGGTCAACCGTGCAGGTGGGGTCAACCGTGCAGGTGGGGTCAACCGTGCAGGTGGGGTCAACCGTGCAGGTGGGGTCAACCGTGCAGGTGGGGTCAACCGTGCAGGTGGGGTCAACCGTGCAGGTGGGGTCAACCGTGCAGGTGGGGTCAACCGTGCAGGTGGGGTCAACCGTGCAGGTGGGGTCAACCGTGCAGGTGGGGTCAACCGTGCAGGTGGGGTCAACCGTGCAGGTGGGGTCAACCGTGCAGGTGGGGTCAACCGTGCAGGTGGGGTCAACCGTGCAGGTGGGGTCAACCGTGCAGGTGGGGTCAACCGTGCAGGTGGGGTCAACCGTGCAGGTGGGGTCAAGTGCATGTGTGTGCTCCACTGCTGGCTGTCCCATTGCTGCATATGTGCGCCCTACTCACATGAGAATTGCTCAAACAAGCTGGCTGTTGCTTCGCCCCATGTTTCGGTGCTCTCGTCTTACACAACCCCCCTATCACGCGCTGTCCCTCCGCGTGCATGCTGGCTCGTGGACATGTGTGCATGGATGCGTGTGTGTGCATGCATGCGGGTGTGTGTGTGCACGCATGTCCATGTGTGCGTGTGTGGGTGTGCATGGGTGCATGGTGTGCATGATCAGGATCTGACGGTGGAGAACGTGGCGAACGTGTATGAGCTGGCGGAGACGTACCATGCGCAGTCGCTGCGGCAGATGTGTGTGCTGTTTGTGCTGGACCACCACGAGCAGATGTGCAACCTCCCAGGGTACGCCTTACATGCCTCACCCGCACCCGCACATGCCTCCTCGTCCGCACCTTCCTTCCAACTCACGGAACCTTCCAGGTTCTGCCACTCATGGATGTGAACTGTGCTGAGTGCCATTATTTGAAGCTCCTCAAAAGCCATCCCAGTGTCCCTTGCCCACGCTCTCGACTCTCGCTGCCTACGCATGCTGCTCCAGCCCTTCTCAACCCTTGTCCTGCATGCAATGCTCCTTTCCCCTCTCCCTGCCGCAGGTACAATGCACTGCTGCAGCGCATGGTTCCAGAGACCCGTGAATACATCTCCCGTGTGCTTCGGCCTCGGTTGCCCTGACCTCGTGCATCAGACTGCACTGCAGCTACTTGGAGTGCAACTGTGCAAGGCACTGCAATTGTGATAGTTCGTACGGGATGTTAGGGTACCCTCCTGCATTTTTTTGCAGCTCCTCGTCATTTGCTGGTGTTCATTGCCTTTCAATGTCAGGTCTTTCGTTGTCACACATTCCTCATCTCGTATGTATTACGGTACATTTGGTTGGGAATTGGCACGATTGATCGGTGCTGATTAATGTGCGATAAGGTACCATTACCGTGCTGCTGAACTATGACCTTCCCAAACATACAAGCAAGCACCTTCCTGGGAAACTTCTGTACCAATTTAGAAACTCCGGGCGGGCATAACTGCTCCAGATGTCGCGAGCTGTGCTAGTGCTTGTTCCTAAGTGTTTTATTCATGATCCCCCAGCTACTATACATGCTAGCATATTCATGCAGAATGCATTTTTTCATCCTACCTAATTAGCAAGATTAGACTTCTGGTTTGGACCATTTTGCAGTTATTCTAAAAGAATGGTGCTCAAGTGTCCATACACTACGCTTTCAAAACGTAGAGGAAACATCATTCAACACCGTACAGGAAGGACACGTCGATCAGAACATGTTGCCTAGGAATTTCCAGCCCTGAGGTTCAAAGACCCTTTTTCGCCATCTTGCGTCCACGCGCCGGGTGCTTCCGTCATTGCTGACCGTGCAGATTGGTGCGGTGAAACAATGTTTTGTCAATAACGGTAGGTCTATATCGTCCCAAACTGTTTATCAAATATCATTGATAACTATCGGAAAGTAGTTTATTGGAAAGTGAAGGCAGCAGAAACTAGCTTGTAATTCGGGGTTTCTATCTTGAAGTAGGCTCAGCAGAAACGGATCTGGACCACCGCGTGGCGTCTGGAAGGGATGGCAAATTGCGCCAATAGGCTTGGTGTCTGTTTCTCGAAGGGTCAGCAATTGTTTTATGTGCTTCTGTGCGACAGCAACCGCATGTTGTCAACGCTTCCAATGGGCGTGAATTTCAAATCTCCCCCGACCCCTTGCCCCTGCCCCGCCTCCCCTTGAATGAACAGCCCAACATTACTGTATGCCGCTTTCATGCTGTTTTGTACCAGTACCACCCCATTTCTGTTGCTGTTTCTGTACCATCGCAAAGTACTGTATTACTCCGGGCAGGATGTTGAAATGGAAGCATGGACGTTTTCGTTGTTTTTTTTCAAGACCTCAATTAGGTGTGGCAGTCATGAACTTCGGTCGAGCAGCCGTGATGGTACCAAAGACTCTTCCACTCCAGCTCATCACAACAGCTCATCACTCTGCTTCGTGCCCCATGACTGTTGCACCTTTCTCACAACCAGAAGGTTTGGTTCAACACATCCCCCAACACCTCCTTTTCCATCACAGTCGTACACCCCTTCTCATTTCTTTACGACGAATTCCATTTTATATTGCACGAAGCCACACAGGTGGCATTTTGCTCTTCCCCATCATTTTCCCGTCACCGATTCACGACTTAGTCACTGCCACGAATGGCGCCTTCTGCCAAGTCCAAGCCAGACAAGGAGGAGAAGCAGAAACCAGATCGGGCGGATCAGGTGGCTCGGCTAATGGGCTTGCTACATCGCGATCACACGCAGCCACACGACCCGCCGCCGCCCGACGAGGACGACGACCAAGACCACGCCCCTGCCGCCGCCGCCAAGCCTGCCGCTCCCAGCGCGGCGGCCAGCCGCTGCTCCAACAGCGGAAGGCGGGCGGGCTCTGAGAGCGCTGACGGATCGTCGGCGTCGGCGCGCCGCGGCGCCGCGCCTCCCAGCCCGTCGCACGGCATGGCGCCGTCCGTGTCGTGGGAGGGGCAATGCGGTTCGCGAGGCGCAACCGCGGAATCTCCGCGCTATGCCAACGCGCCGCCGCCGCAACAGCAGCAGCAGGTGCGCGCCCGCCCTCGTCCTCAAGCAGTGCAAGCGCCGTCGCCACGTGGCGCGCAAGCCTTCTCGCGGTCGTTCAACGACGGTGGGGTTGAATCCCCGCACACTCCGCCGGATCAGCCCCCTCCGCGCATCGGCCCAGGAGCCTCGTCGCCGCACTCCGGCGCGGGGCCGCGTGCGCTGCCGCGGCCCAAGACCGGGGAGCAGCTTCAAGGCCCGCCGCTGCCGTCACCACGGGGAGCGCCTTCCCCCAAGACGTGGAGCAACCCCGATGGTGCCGCCCCAGGCCACGCCGCCGCACCGCGAAAGAACCGAGCACCTTCCATCCGGCTCGATGGCGTGTCGGGCGACGACGTCACTAGTAGCGGCGGCACGACGCCGAAGGGCGCGGCGGCGCGTCCAGGTTCATCGACGGGTCGTCGCGAGCCGAACCGCGCGAGCAGCATGGGCGATTTCCCCGACGCGCGCCTCGCCGACGGTGGCAGCAGCGGCGCGCTCATGCCCCCGCTGTCGCCCCTCGGCAGCGCAGCTGGTGGCGCGCGATCGGCGGTAGGCGCGCGGGGGAGGCGCGTGGCGACGAAGCACGCGAGTCTGGGTAACCAGGAGTACGAGCGCATGCACGTCGCCACCTCGCCGGGCCCGGTCAACCCCAGCCTGTCGCCGCTACACGCGGGCGCCATACCTCGAGCAGGCGGAAAGCAGGCGGCTGGCGGAACGCGCGCGGGGCTCACCCCGGGTGCCTCCCCGCCGGGCGGGGGAGACATGGTGAGGGCAGCGGATGGGGCGCACGGGGGAGGGGCGCGGAGGGCGTCGAAGCACATGAGCCTGGGGAAGGAAGACTACCTGCGCATGGAGGCCGCGGGCAGCGGATACCTGCCCTCCCCCTCCCCGCCGCCGCCGCATGCGCGCACCTCAGCCGGACCTGGCGCTGGCGCTGCTGGTGCGCCGACCGGCCGGGTGAAGCCTGGGAGGCGCGCGAGCATGGGAGCGGACGGCATGGAGGCCATGATGCGCGCAGCGGCGGCGGCCGCCAGCGACGGCAGGCGCAAGAGCGTCGATGACTCGGCGGCGCCGCCTCAGGGCTGGGAAAAGGCCTGGATGGGCGGCGGCCAGGAGAAGGGCGGCGAGAGGCGGAGGGAGGCGGGTCCCGCGCGGACGCTTAGAGAGCCGAGGAACGATGCGGAGGGAATGAGAGCGAACGAGGAGGGCGGAGCAGAGGGAGCAGTGGCGGACGAATTCGGGGGGGAGGACACATGCGGCAGTCCGGTGCTGGGCGTGCAGGGGCGCGCGGAGGAGACGGCATGGGCGGAGGAGACGGCGGAGAGCGTGGAGGCGCGCAGTGGCGGGGGGGTCTCCGCGAAGGCGGGGAGCGGCAAGAAGGGCAGTCTGGCGCGGAGCTTGACGGTGGACGAGGATGCGGGCGACGAGCAGCCGGCTGAGCGGCCGCGCGGGAAGGCGAAGGCGAAGGCGAGCCCCAAAGCGAGCCCCAAGGTGAGCCCGAAAGGCGCGAGCGGGCGACGGCTTGCGCGGCCGATAGAGGAGGACGAGGGCGCGGAGGACTCGGGCGGAGCGGCGAAGGCAATGGCGGGCGGGCGAGGGAAGGCTGCAGCTGAGGCGCGGGGCGCAGCGAAGGGGCGAGTGAAACCGCGCAGCATGGAGGCGGACGAGGGGGTTGGCGGGGGCGAGTGTCAAGGGCGATCCGGTGGGAGAACGGCGGGGCGCGAGGACGCCAAGGGGGTGGGCGCAGGCAGTGCGAAGCGGGGCAGCCTGGCGCGGAGCCTGCAGGATGACGACGAGGAGAAGGCGCGCGCGGCGGGGAAGGCGGGAGGCAGTCTTGTGAGGTGCCTGTCGGACGAGGAGGAGGACGCACACGCTGTAGAGGCGAACAAGGCTAAGGGGCACGTGAGGGGTGCTGAGAGCGAGCAGCACAGCGCGGCCGGCGGAGCGAAGCAGAAGGCTGCGATTGGGATTTCAGGCAGGAAAGGCGGCTCACTGGCACGGAGCATGACGGAGGATGAGGATGACGATGCGCCTACAGGCGCGGGGCGGGCGCATGGCGGGGGGGAGGGCAAATGCGGACGGGGCGTGCAGGTGAGGGAGCAGCCGACAGGGAAGGCGCGCGGGGAGGGGGCGAGCTCAAAGGGGCGGGCGAGAGGGGAGGTGGAAAGTGGAGAAGGCGTGGCGGCGGGGAAGGCAGGAGGCGGCCTGGTGAGGTGTCTGTCGGACGACGAGGAGGACGCGGATGCAGGGAAGGCGAGCAAGGCCGAGGGGCACGTGAGGGGTGCAGAGGGCGAGCAGCACAGCGCTGCTGGCGGAGCGAAGCACACGGCAGCGATTGGGATCTCAGGCAGGAAAGGCGGTTCGCTGGCACGGAGCATGACGGAGGATGAGGATGACGATGCGCATATGGGCGCGGGGCAGGGACATGGCGGCGGGGAGACTGAAGGCGGACGACGTGAGGGCTCAGGGCGGGGGGTGCAGGTGAGGGAGCAGCGGAAAGGAAAGGCGCGGGGGGAGGGGGCGAGCCCAAGGGGGCCGGCGAGAGGGGAGAGAGAAAGTGGAGAGGGCGTGGCGCGCGGGAAAGCGGTGAGTGAGGCAGAGGAGGTCCGTGGGGACAAGGTGCACGCGGTGGGGAAGGCAGGGGGCAGCCTGATGAGGTGCCTGTCGGACGACGAGGAGGACGCGGGTGCGGGGAAGGGGGCAAAGGCCGAGGGGCACGTGACGGGTGCTGAGAGCGAGCAGCACAACGCTGCTGGTGGATTGAAGCAGAAGGCGGCGATTGGGAACTCAGGAAGACAAGGCGGTTCGCTGGTGTGTACCATGAGTGATGATGAGGATGCCAACGCTGATACGGGCGCGGCACAGGGGCATGGTCGGGGGGAGAGTGAAGGCGGGCGTGAGGGTGGGGGGCAGGGCGTGCAGGTGGGGGAGCAGCGGAAAGGGAAGGCTTGCGGGGAGAGGGAGAGCATAACCAGGCAGGTGATAGGGAAGATGGAAAATGGAGAAGGCGTGGCGCAGGGGAATG